AGGGGATCAGGTGACAACAAGTATGATGAGCATCGAGAATGAAATTCTCTAATAGCACAAACCAGCTGCAAGCCAAATGTTACACAAACACCCTGGCAAGACTGGAAGAAGAAAGAGAGAACATAAAAGATTGGTGTAGCAGCAGTTTCTGCCCTCAAAGTGTTTCCTAGCTGTGTCTGAAGTTGCTGATCTCACTTCTTGGAAGGGTGAAGACACTGAGCCCCGTTCTCAGAGGCCAAACAAAGCGCCTTGCCTGCTGCTGGCACAATGGTGCTGACCTCAGAAGAAAGTACCCTGAGTTGCATCTTCCTAGGCATGAAGAGAATCTCATCTTCAGCTAGGGACAGGTTCTGCTCACAGGTAATGCAGAAGGAGCTTGCTCTTCAGCTTTCCTCCCAGAGAAATGCAGCAGTGGCTTCGTCTACGGGAAGGCACAAGCCCAGGCAACGTTATGCCACAGGCATTGTAGCACCAAATGTTTATTTCATGCATTAGCTGAATTGCATATAAATGCCACCTTTTAGAAGCCTTTCTTTTCGTTAACACAGCTGTCAGAACGTTGTCCATCACATCTCTGGGATGGTGACAGCTGTAACAGAGACGGGAGGCTCCTACAATGCAGCAGGATCGCTACGGTGCCCGTTGCGGACTGGAGAAGCTGCGAGTCCTGTGCTCGTCTTCCCAAACACAGCGCCCGCTGCACTACATCTGCCACTGATTCTGGGCCACCTACAGAACTGGGACAAGCTGCAGTTTTGGAAATGATCGAGCTCTCAGCTTCTCACGGTGCAGAAACTTTAGCTGGTACCAACTCCTGTCGCATACAGTATGTTCATGGGAAATGATAAAGGGCTGTGATACACACACGCGCTATCTCTAACTGCAGCAAATGGGAAGGCTTTGAAAAAAAGATGAAAAAACGTCTTTGGGACCCGACCTACATGGAAATGGAACTTGTACTCAGGAAAGGCCTTTGCATAACTGATGTTGGAAAAGTCAGTTTGCTTTTCCAGCTCTCAGTTTTGCCTGTTCACAAAGTAGAAATAAGATTGTTTCCTTAACTTTGTAAAGAAATTGCAAATTATGGATGAAAAGTTCCACAACACTATTGCAGTTTTGGGTTACTTCACACCTCAAAAGGGCTAAAGCTGAGCTTTTTCCTGGTTTGGTATTTCATGGGTATTGATTTAGCCCTAGATGATCTTTAATGAGTTGAGCATCCGATGGTTTAGTCAGCGAGTTCTGGTGACAACGCCCAGAAACAAAGATGAGACTGCTGTTCCCAGCACTACCTAGGGACGTAGCTGTTAGCCATATCCGCCAAATTAACGTGAAATTACTGACACTGGGTTCTGTAGGCAGCACACCAAAAGCTTCTTCAACTTTTCCATTATAATTCAGGTTATAATTCAGATTTCCAGTGTTTATGCACACCAGAAAAACTGCATTTCTGCCAGCTGTAGTCTTTGCACCACGTAAGATCGAAGCTGTAGTAGCTACTAATTTTACATCTGTGATTAATGAGTTGGGCTAAGATGAGTTAGCAGAAACCTGCATTGGTTATGCGCATTGGTATTTTTTGTTTAAGAAAAGCAGCATTTGAGACATTAGGGAGGTTTTCCTGTGTGTGTGGTGTGCTTAAAATTTCCCTCAGGCCATTTTTAGTGCGGTTGGGATGGACTTGATTGGAAAATTTAATGGCTTTTTCCGTTTCTGTTCCCTTTTGCTAAGCTGATCTTTAAAGCTGCCCTTTCATGATGTGTGAATTTCTCTCCATTTGAAGAACGAGCATCAGATACAACATGGAAAGCAGATTTTATAAATGAGCTATTAGGCAGAGAGGAGGCACTTCTGAGATGCTCGCAAGTTGCACAGCAACCAGAGGAACATATAGTCATTTGATTTCTCAAATGACTCTGACTTTGACTCAAGGGAAAAACAGATTTGTTCTCCCCTTAAAGCTTTCTATCGTATGTGATAAAAAGAAAATGTGTTTATACATTTTCCCCCTCAAAAAAAAAGTTGTACCTCATCGCTGAGAAATAGCAGTGTCTATTACCATGTAAATTACTGCAGAACAGGTCCGGTCACAGCTCCCCTTTGTGATCTTAAATGAAAAAACCCAGCAGCGTAACCCTCCCTGTCTTCTAGCTTTTAAACATAACATGCTGACCCTTCTGAAACAACAGATTAAAAACCAACGAACCAAGCAAGAATCAATGCTTGGTGTTTTTTTCACTTTCTGGAGAATCTTTTCTTTCATCTCTGTCCCCAGATCTGGCATTTTACAACACCATTTTCTGGTAGTTATGGGCAACACGTCCTTGCTTTTTCTGGAGATCATTGCCGTATCAACTGTTGTCCAGTCCCTGCTGTGTGCTTGTGAAGTTAGTTCCAAATCAAAGGTGCTTCTGAGTTTCTTTTCTGATACCCTCTGGACTGCCGTGTCACTCGGATGTCAGATGCAGCAGTGGTGTTTATTGCAGTACTAACCCGTACACATCCAGCTTCATAACTGCCTGCTGCGCCTCTTGGAGACTTGAGTTTCGGTACTAACTGTGGTCAGTCCGTGTCCTTGAACTGGCCTGTCCAAAACCGGTCTGATTCTGAGATAACCAACCAGTTACAAAGTAGAAAATATATTCACAAAACTCAAAAATAACAGCAGAAAGGTCCTTGTTTAATTTCTGTGACGTGTTACTTTGCTTTCTACAACACCATTCACACCAAAAATCCAGATTCAGAAGAAACTGGGTAGGATGTAAGAGCTGGAGAGAAAGAAGAGGAGATTGTTACTTCATTTTTTTCCCTCTTGCTGTGTGTTGTTCCTGGTCTTTTGGCACCGGGGGAGCTCTGCAGGGTGTTGCCAAATACCACTTGCCATCAGAGTCGGGGCTTGGGATGCCACCGCTGCCTCGTGCTGTGGGGTCAGGGACTGGGGAGACCCCAGCATCACCTCCTCCCTCTGTCTTTGCTCGTCTGCTCCTGCTGGCTCATTGCTCCCTTTTATTTCCTGTTGGTTTGGCTGTTTTTTTAACATGGCAGGATCATGCTCTGCTTGTGTAGAGCACTCCGAGAATTGCACGTGAAAAGTCCTTGTGTACACTAAATAACTTGGGGCAGTTGTGGCAGGGCTTGGGTGTTCAACAGACATGGGCAGTGTGCTGAAGCTTGCATTAAGAAATCATCTCTTTCACACCAGATGTGATCCCCTGGTGGCAAATTCTAGGTACAAACATTTTAGATGGGTTGAGGAGAGCCTTGTAAGTGTCTCAGACAGTGTCCTGTCTGAATTTAAGAAGAGATTGGACTGTGCACTTAGTCACATGGTCTGAACTTTTGGGTAGACCTGTGCGGTGTCAAGAGTTGGACTTGATGATCCTTAAGGGTCCCTTCCAACTCAGGATATTCTATGATTCTATGTCTCATAAATGCACACGAGGTGGCTGATGTGTTCTTAGCCCTGGCTGCATCTGCACAGGGTGGACTAGTGTCTGCCCCGGTGTTTCTGCTGGGGCTGAACATGCAGAAGGCAACCCTTGCGTTCAGAAGCCAGTCCCTTTGCCACCACTGGCATCTTTCTTCCAAGAGCTGTTTTAAGTCAGAGTGGGAAAAGAGTGCTTTGCCTGATAAAACCGAGCTTCCCTGACAGGGCAAGAAGACAGCACTACACGAAGATAGGATGTTAGCACGCCATCCCTGCCAGAGCTGCCCCGTCACACAGAGACGAGCCAAGTGCAATGAACAGCAGCGGCGTCTTAGTTGAGGTTCACTTTGGAGCTCACAGAGCCCAGTGACAAACCTGAGTTCAGCAGCTCAGGAGGGGTAACTTCACGGGCTGCCGGAGGCTGGCAGGGCCCTCTGGGCCCATCTGCTCCAGCCCCTGCTCCAGCAGGGCCACCCCGAGCAGGGTGCCCAGGACCACGGCCAGACCCTTCTGAAGATCTCCAAGGAGGAGACTCCACAGCCTCCCTGGGCAGACGCTGCCAGCGCTCAGCTTCCTCACGGTGGGTTAGAAATCAAGTACACAAACACGGTTGTCTTGATCTTGCAGACATCTCTAATTAGCTCTGGGTCTGAAAAGTTCTGAAAATCGTGGGGCTGCCCAGGTATAATCAAGGACATGAAGTCTTCTGGCACAGGCCAGAAATATCTTGGCTTGAGTTTCCGATTCCAATGGCTGTTAGGTATTAAAATTGTCAGAAGCAGTTGCAACCAGAGCATTTGTGGTATGGAGTCCCTGAGATGCAATAAATCACCACCACAAAGCTGGTTGTCACAGACTGAAAGCCAACTTGCAAGCATCTTTTTTTTTTTTTTTTTTTTTTTTTTCCCAGTGTGATCAAAGGTTTCTTTTTGCCTCTGCTTAATCTCTTACCTTCTACAACCACTCTCTTAATAATGAGGCACATTTACAAACGTGCTGTCCTGCTCCCCAGCAGATGTCACCTGGCTGAACTTCACATTACTGCATGCTGTCTCATGCCCAGCCCGGCCCACACGCACATATGCTGGCGTCCTCACACAAATCATGTGCAGCACCCCACACGCTTCTGGAGACGTCCTCTCTCTGACACACTCACACACACACACACAGAGCTTTACATCTTCTCCCTCCTGCCTTGTCTTGTAGTCACTTCTTAAGATGCTGACAGTGATTTGTTTGACACAGTTGCAACCTGAAATGTGTTGAAAAAGCAGGGGAAGAGAAAAAGCTAATAGGAATTTTAGTTGTAGCACTTTTGCACGAGGCTTTACGTGTGGTGGGTGACTGAGGATGCTTCAAATGGAGAAGACCTCATAGAAGAAATCTTAAATCCCGTGAAGAAAAACAGAGGGGAGTCTCCCTCCTTTCTTTTTTCTGTCCCTAAAATACATTCTTGCACCCCATACAAGCCCCAGGTTGTATCTGAGGGTCTGTGTGGGCCCTGACACGTAACCCAAGGGGCAGCACAGCATGAAGTACCAGCCTGTAATAATCTTTCTCTTTTCTTCCTCAGTTTGTTGCTCAGCCAAACTGCCAGCAGCTACTAGCAACGCTTTGGTACGACGGTTTTCCAGGATGGAGGCGGAAACACTGGGCAGTAAAACTCTTGACCTGTGTCACCATCGGACTGCTGTTCCCTGTGCTATCTGTGGCGTACCTGATCGCACCGAAGAGCAGGCTGGGACTGTTCATTAAAAAGCCATTTATCAAGTTTATCTGCCACACCGGCTCGTACCTAACCTTCCTCTTCATGCTCCTGCTGGCATCGCAGCACATCGTCAGGACCGACCTCCACATGCAGGGCCCGCCTCCCACCATCGTGGAGTGGCTGATCCTGCCCTGGGTTCTAGGTAAATGAGAAACCCCCCAAAATCCTCAGCCACAGTCGCCTGACTCGTGCCCATGGCAACTGTGTGGAGACTCATTCCTGAGCTCAGCATCAGCAGCGTGTAAAGAGATCTGGCAGCCAACTTCAGGCACTGCAGGAAACAGCTGGGCTCCTTCTGGAACAACAGATCCTGTTGGCCTAGGGCTCTTCTGCTGTTCGTGGTGCCATCTGACGTGCCTTTAGAGATGACCCTGAGTAAACCTCAGCAGGCAGAGCTCCCTCCCTGCTTCCCACATGCACTGTGCAAGGAGCGGGTGTAGGAATTAGCTTCTGGGTCATGCTAGTGACAAATAGTGTCACTTGAATGCCGGCTTCCTTCTGCTGGTAGGTGGCAGGAGGCAGAGCTGAGGATCTGCCTCTGCTTTTGCCCTCTCGCTGATGGGCAGCGGGACTCAGCACGCAGGTACCTGGGCTCCCAAATAGCCTGCAGGAAAGCAGAAAAGGGAAGATAAATCTCTTGCTGCCTTATGCCCATGTGCTGATAAACACTGATCAAATCAATATTGATTTGCCCTAATGTAAGCAGAAGAAGGAGGGGCTGACTATTATGAGCAGGTTAAAGCTGAGGCTGTTATTCTGGTCTGGCTTGGGCAAGCATAACTGAAGGACAGGGGTGTCCAGGTCCCCCAAGGGCAGGAGGTACAGGTGAGGTGGTGAGGTGGGATGGGAGGAAGTGGGCAGAGCCACTGAAGAAAAAAGGACACCTCTCTCAGCAAACCTCAATCTCCAGAGCTCTCCCTGAGGCTCCTCACTGCTCCTCATGGGTCCATCCCCATGCCTGCTGGCTCCTCTCCTGGGGTAACGCCAGGACCCGGCTCCTCCTTTCTGTGGTGGCTCAGGATCAGGCTGGTTCTGTGCTGAGCACGCCTGGATGCTCTCTGTGCCAAAACTGAACTTGCTGATGGAAAATGCAGAAAGAAAATTAGAGTTGCAAACATGCTCACAAATCACTTTCCATCCCAACCCAGGGCATTTTGCTCTTTGCGTAGCTCCGTCACAACCTCCAAATGGGAACTCAAGCCTCATTATCTTCCTAGCCTGGATTATGGCACTGAGGTGTACGTGTTGGTAAAAACTTAAGCTGAGAAGGTTAAATGTCTTTCTGAGCTTAGGTGATCTCTGCACTTTATCCTTCACTTCACAGTTTAAATTGAAGGAAATGGTGGGCACTTCAGCAAAATTGATGTGCAGATGAAAGAATAATCCATAAAAAAAAGATCTTTCAAAATAGCCTGTCACCGTTCTCTCTTCTTATTTTTTAGTCCCTTTGTTTCAGATACATAGGGATGTTTGGGGATTGTTTATTAAATGGGAGAAATTAGAGCAGTTTCACAAGATTAAAGGTTATTATTTATGAAATATCTTCCACTATAAAAGGAGAGAGAACAGGCACACACAGCATTGCTGTAACTATAGTAACCAGCTATGATAACTCACTATAAATACAGCGTATGAGTTCTTCAACAGGCTCCACTCCATTGATTTATTTTGTGTTTTTGTGTGCATGCAAAGATTTGGCAGCTGTTAGAAGATTACCTTATTGGCCTTGACATTATGCTTGCCTGACCACTGACCTGCTGGCTGGCAGCTGAAGAGCTAAGATTGATATCTGGATGTTTGCAGCAGTTCATTTCAACATTATCTGCTCTTCAGGTTGAACTTTCAGGTCCTAAAATTGAGCTGCAAGTGGCATTTCAGTGACCACTGTGGTGTCCTGTGGTTGGGTATGGGCAGCAATTTGGGTAACTGTAGCAGTAATATACCTTGAGATTTATAATTTTTTTTCTTTTCACACACATTTCAGGTCTTCAGTGCAAGGATATTGTAAACTGGCTTGTTCAAAGTACCAGGGGACTCTGAGGACATGCTCAGAAGCATGGTGATGTAGGAGCCTAGCTGCCATTTGCTTTTTAATTGGGCTTAGGCTCTCAAAAGTACTTAAACAGGTCTTAAATAAAGGACACACGAGTTGCTTAAAATTAAAATTTTATGCCAGATAATGAACTACTGAAGCTCACCCTTACCCCTCTAGCAGCAGGGAGGCATGGTGAAGGTTAGCAAGTGCCACAAATTATTACCAGAAGGCATTTCAGAGTTGAGATGATGGGCTCTGGCCATATCCTTGGGAACAAATTTTCACCTCGCAAAACCCACAGCCATATTTGACGTTAGGTGAGTCACTGCTGAGAGATGTGGTGCCAGGCTGCAGTGCCCTTTTCCATGCTGAGTCGTACCTTTTTTTTTTTCACAAATACTCCCGATGGGCTTTCAGTGCAGCAAGATGCATAAATGCAGTAACTGAGCATAGAGAATTAATTCAATTCTTCCTTCTCTGGTGTGATATTTCCAGGTCAGGGAGGAAATATACTGGCATGCAGAAGCTGGTGCCAGTGTCGTGTGTTCTGCAGAGAAAGTTAGAAAAAAAATCAGTACTGTCCAACTGAGGCAATGAATTACCGTGGGAGCAGAAAACCTACGGGAAAACATAACAAATACAGTTACTTAAATAGTTTATTCATATAAAACAAATTTCGTCTGAGCCAATCCACGCATACTGGTTGCGATTAACATATGTTTCAGGCAGCCTCCTTGTCTTTGTATCTGAAGCCCTGCACAGGACGCCTAGCTCTTTCTCGCATCTCTCTAGACTGCATTCCTAATGGAGTTGTAAAATGCCTCGTAATCAGCAGGATTTTACTTGTACAAGACAGGAGGGATGAGGCATTTTTTCCAAGGTGTTAATTTATAATTGTCTTTTCACATCACATACACACAGTAGTTTAACGGCGAATAATACCTGCTCGTGACAGTGAACTCTCTTTCTTTCTGCAGGTTTTATTTGGGGAGAAATCAAGGAAATGTGGGATGGTGGATTCAATGAGTACGTACATGACTGGTGGAATCTGATGGACTTTGCAATGAACTCCCTCTACCTTGCAACTATCTCCCTTAAAATTGTTGCCTATGTCAAGGTACAGTAACCTGGGCAAGAGCATTTGTAACTTGTTTCTGAGAACTGCAGTATATGGGATAGAAGCTATCAGACACAAAATTACAGATCAAAGAGAATAGCTGCTTTTCAAGCAATCCAGTTTTGAAAATTCACCTGGAAAGCTTATTAACCTGTGTGGAGAATGATCTTCCTTCCCATCTCTACTCTTTGGTTAATACTGAAGTAGATTTTGTGAGCACTGGGTAGAAGTTCCCCAACTTCTGTGCATTTTGTAGCTACTCAGTTGCCAAAGATATGTTTTGTTTTCCATGTCGACATCTTTCGACAACGCTAAACTTGCATTGAAAGCATGATTTTTAAATAAAAGAGGAAGGAACAACAAGAATAGGGTTATCTGAAAACATCTCCCGCCAAGATTTATAATCTGTAGTCTGTGAGCCCCAACAGATCTGTAGATTACTTACCAGGAGTCTGTGAAAAGCCTACCACGAAAAGCACACCTGTTGGTAGGGGGCTTCCATCTGCTGTGAAGGAGTCAGCTTCTCTTCTTGAATATATAGGTTTAAACTGTAGGCAAGGAGATGACAAAGGAGCACACTAGAGCTTTAGAACTACAGATTCCTCACTGTCATGTTACATTTGTGGTGAGAGTGCACATCAGAGCTCATCCTCAAAAGCACCTTCCACATTTATAAATTTCTGATGCTCCAAGTTAGCATATGCACAAGTTTTGAAGCCAGAGGATGGCCTCAAGCGCTTTCTCTCTGTCTCTGTTTTTCAAAGACACAGACAACACACAAAGGGCCTCCTGCAAAGCTCCTTATGCAGTGGCTGTCTTTGACTTCAGTTGGAGCTGCGTGCTTGGCTGGCATCCATCTCCTGAGCCTGATTCTTTTCTTGATGTGAATCAGCTATAAATTCACTGCAGTTAGTGGAATTACACAGGTGTAAATCAAGGAACTGTAGCCTGCTCCTTAGCCTTATGCACTTCATAGTTCTGCTGCGCTACTGTGTAGGTTTTGCCCAGGCAGAAGGGAACTACTTCTTGTAGCCCAGTCCTAGAAACCAGGATAAGCACATCCCCAAAAGCAACCCTGTGTAGTGTGTTCTCCCCCCCCCCCCAAGTTTGTATGCAGGCAGAGGGGAAAAGAGTGGAAAATTTCACAGAGCTCATTGACTCCAAAATGGGAATGCTCTTACATAAACCCTTCTGCAAGCAGTCCTGCTACGGAGCCTTTTTAAAATCCAGAAGGCTGCATAGTGGTGAGTTGGTTTTTCAAAGGAAAAAGCTTCAAGACAGTTGCTATTCCCTGAACAGGCAGCTCTGTGACAGCATCAAAGCAGAAACAGATTACGTCTTTTTTCTCCTAACATTCAGAACCAGTGAGGAAATTAGAGACTTGAAAGGTTGGTCTTTAAACTGTGAGCAATACAGAAAATACTGGAAATTGTAACATTCGTGAACAAATCCTAAAATGTTAACAATCTCTTTCTTTCTCTCTCTCACACACAAATTACTAAAAGAGCCATGCATCCACAGATTTATATGGTCACACACTGAGATTTAAGCTCACAGCCAAACTACACATACAAAGGAAGTACAGCTTTGTTTATATACTTTGCAAGAACTACAGAAACACACAGGCTAACTACAGAGACCTGTACGCCAGCACAAAAAAGAATGCTTACAGGAATATATCCATTTGAGTACAGATCAAACCCATTTGGATTAAACCTGGCTAATCTAAGGTCTGGTCCTGCTAAGGACCAATGTCAGACCATTCCAAGAAGTGCAGAAAATCTTACATAGCAGTAGCTCTGAAACAGCATGCCCCCTCAAGTTCCCTTCTGACCTATGTTGCTTAAAGGTTGCAGTACACTCTGAAACATGAGGATTTAAAACATAATGGTTTCAAATTTTTTTGCAACGTGACTTAGAAAGGTTTTTGTTATTTATAGAACAGCCCAGGGCTGGAAAAGGCTGGTATATATGCCAGTATACCATAGTCTAATGTTTCTTGGAACTTCAAAAGCTTACATGGACATTTAGCTTTCTGCCAAATATCAGAAAAATAAATTGCATACTGACACTAATATTTTCCATCCTTGTTTTTACCTGGAGACTTTTTTCGCCCTGATTTGACTGGTTCCAAGACCTGGCCTCAATATTATCTAGTAACAATGAAATCTTCAGCCCAATTATAGGGCAAAAATACTTTCTTAATCAGTTTTCATTTGCTGCATTGAATTACGTAATGAGGAAGGGTGAACGTAACTGTCTGTTGTAACTTATTTGTACTACTCTGTATACATTTCTGCTCTTTTTCATCTTCTGATGCCTAACCTGAATAACTCCAGCCTTCTCAGCTTCATTAGATACCGCTGAAATCTCCGATTTCTCTGTTACCTGTGGTGCTGAGCTGTTCAAAAGTGACTATGGTTTTCCAAGCAAGGATATAGCATCACTTTATAAAGGGCCAAAATATGACCCTAACAAGTTGCTTTAAAAATAGATGTGAGATGAAGAAGAGCTTTTTACATTCTCATGTGCTCTCTGCCCTGGCAGAGAGCCCCAGGGCTGCTGTGTCCGGCCAGCACGCAGAAGAGAATCGCAAACAAATGTGCAAATCTGCTCCCTAGGCAGGGGAGGCTGGCTGTTCACAACCACCCACCCCTGCTGTTGGTTATTGGCAAAAGGTTTTAAACATCTGCTTGTTTGTAAACATTTTAAGAGCCGTCTTCAAGTCAAGTTAAGAAAGTCAGGCCTGATGTTCATGGAATAGGCAACGGTTTGGAAATGTCAGAAGCAAGCAGAGGTCGCACTGAAATGCCTTTGTGTCGTGTCTCAGCTCCTTCATACGGAGGAATAGTTGGAAACATCTACTTGCTTTGTCTGCGTCCTTGAAAAAAATGTGAATTAATTTATTGGACCTTCAGATTTATATGTAAAGTCCCTACAAACTCATCTGCCAATGTGATTTTGATACCATTTCCTTTTGAAACATACAAAAAATATGAAGAGTCCTAAACACTCTGGCTACAGTATCAGCGATATAATTCTAAGTGCATTTTTTGCCTTTTTATATATATGTTAAATGAGCAGAAACAAATGCTGAAAGGATAAATTATTCCTTGATGTTAAAATGTCTTTGACTCCTGTCTGCTGTGGCAGTGTAGCTAAGCCTGAGAAGTTACATTTGTATAACCAGCTCTTTCATGTTACCTGCTTGCATCTGGCTCAGATAATGCTTCTGCTTTTACAGTTACATTACAAACCATGTTAATTTTATAATTGAGGCGCTCAAATGTATCCATTATTTTGGCTGTAATTAGGACTTATGCTTTAGGTACTTGCCAAAAATTGCCATGACAAATTAACTAATAAGGAAATTAATACCAAGACAGCATTTTGGTTCTGGGCTGTTGGCACCTTTTTGAGATTACATGGGAGGGAAAGCATCCACTTGCGGTGTTCCATCCTTCATTGCTTTCCTTATTCCCTTCCTTCATTCTCATTCTCATGGAGCTACACTGAACAGATGTATTCTCAGTCTTCATGGAATTAGCAGTGTTTTGAAGGTGCAGTAATATTTAGGGGGGGAAAAGGAAAAAAAAAAAAAGATAATTGGACATGACCTGAACCTTCTATGGGGCAGTCCGAACCCTTTTGAGTGTTTAAAGAGAAGGAGATCACATGTGAACCCAAGGACCTGAATTATCCACAGTGAATTCGAAATTCAGAAGGCCTGTTATCTAAATTCAAGCTAAGTACAACTCACATACCAGAAACTAAGTCCCACTAAGCTATTTGTACTGGAGGGTCTAAATCTGTCAGAAGTTCATAAGAAGGCTTCATTAAACCTAAGTCTCTGCCCTGATCAACTCAGCTTCAGTCCTGGTTCCTGAATTCAGTGACTCCTGAACTGACACTTGGCAGTTGAAACGCACTTCTTGTGTCGCCAGTACCTGGTTAGCATTTATTTACATATCAAGCATTAGTATTAGCAGGTGTGAGTGTTTAAGTTATCTCAAAATCATGACAAGATAATTCACTTTTATACCCTTGTTTTTTCTTTCAGTATAACGGCTCTCGTCCAAGGGAGGAATGGGAAATGTGGCACCCCACTCTCATTGCAGAAGCCCTCTTTGCAATATCCAACATTTTAAGTTCCTTGCGTCTCATATCCCTGTTTACAGCAAATTCACACCTGGGACCCTTGCAGATTTCTCTGGGACGCATGCTGCTAGACATCCTTAAATTCCTTTTTATCTACTGTCTGGTGCTTCTGGCTTTCGCCAATGGACTGAACCAGCTTTATTTTTATTATGAGACCAGTGCCTCGGAGGAACCCAACAACTGCAAGGGGATCCGATGTGAGAAACAGAACAATGCCTTCTCCACGTAAGATGTTCTTTCCTTTATGATTTTCAGGGTGACTTGCGCTGTCTCCTCTCTTACCTGCCTTTGCGTGTTGTCTATCATTGTGCCGAAAGTGTCTTTATTTATTCATTTGCAAATATCAGGTGAGCTGCTCAACTGTGCAGGAAAAGTGTGAGTTAACTGGGGCAGAGAATTCTGCTGAGCTTTGCTGTCACACAAGGGCTTTTAGGGCTGGAAGTGAGAGACAATCATTTTTGTTCTGGACCAAAAAGTCTTTCTACGTGATCCTGCAACTGAAATTTTATGATGGCTACATACAGTTTCAGGATATTTGAGAACGCAGGTATCCTGTTGTAGTATTTGTTTTGTCTTATTCTGGAGGAAAGGGGGGGAAAGCTAAACAAAATGTAGAAAACAAGGGATAAACATATGAAAAAAACTGTATTAATAAATAACATGACAGAGCAACAATAGTCTCACCTAGGCCATTTTTACACACATGAGGTTACAGGCTTCTCTGATTCTCTCGCAGTGGGGTGAGACTAAAATCACATCAAAATCCATTTTGCTGGAAATGCTGGTACTTTACTGAGAGGTTGGCATGGAAATCGCTGTGCTGACAGCTGGCAGGGCTGAAAGACAAAGCACATGCTGAAAAATAACATGAATTGTCTTTCTGATCTATTTGTTTTAATTACTAATAGTGGAAATAATTATAATAATCAGCCCCCATCTGATTGTTCTTGCTGGTTGCACAGTACTTAAAACACAAAGGGAAGAGAAATAAATAAAGCACCGTCTAGAAAAGGGCCTACGCCCTGCAAGCAAGCAAAGCAAAACTGTTGTCCACCACGTCAGGCAAAATTAAATACAACTTAGGATAATGCCCAGTAATTCTCCACCCTTCGTCAGCTGAAGGCTGGAGGTTAAAAAAGGATTCGTGTCATTTTTGCACTGTTATCAAAAGCAAATGACGGTTGACGCCACGTTGGAAGAGGGAAGGCTCCAACATTGTCTCTGTCATTGACCCTCCTTACAAGAAGGGGGAGATTTTCCTGGGATAAAGTCCAGCCTTAGAAGAGCCTCATAACCAGAGTCCTGGTAGACCGTACGTGCTGCTGTTTTCATTGCAGAGCAGGAACACCATCGGCTTGATTAATTTTCTCATTAAACTCATCTATATCTGGAGGAAGTGAATGGAACTGCACTGTGCTAATGAAAAACAGAATTAAAGACTCCAGTCTTTTTTCTGTTTTAATTGTTTGGAATGCCCCAGAAATGTGTTGTGCTGCCCTTGTGAAGGAATTAAATAGCAAATGCTATTCCTTGATCTACGTTCATATTGATGGAGCAGCCAGAGGGAGAAATGTTTGGCAAGCACAATGTTTGTTAAGTGGCAACTTCTAGCTCGGGAAGGGTCAAAACCACAAAGTTCAGGACTGGAGTGTGCCTTTCCCTGGAGCAGTACTGAACAGATGTATTCCAGTTCCGTGTTCTGGTTCGGACCTGTCTCCACTGCAAACCAGTTGTTTTACAGATTTCACTGTTGGCAGATTAGTGGAGCAAGTAAAAACAAGATTTGACTAAAGAAAAAGATCAGCAGGAGGAAAAAAAGAAAAAAAAAAAAAAACAAAACACAACATCAACGAGAAAGATTCTCAAGTAAGTAAGAAGGCACAACATCTTGAGAACTAGAAATGATACAGAACCACTTAACAGAAAGTGTGTGGATCAGCTTAAATACAAACCACAATTTCTCCCACCCTAACATGCAGTTTGAGCCCCCCTGCCAAGGAGAATGTGGCACAGGAAGGAAATTGAGGGGGCTCAGCCTTTATGACAGAGGTTTGTTTAAAACAAAATCGCAGTGGGAGGGGATCCATTAGGACTGAGGTCTCCTGGCAGGGGACAGAATGCTCTGCAGTTACTTTTTTGTTTGAGCCTTGCTTAAGAAATTTATTTAACATGTTCTTAAAAGTTTAAATAGTCGTTATTAACACCCCCAGTACAAGCTGACATTTGGCCCTTGAGCAGACGCACAGCATGGGTGAATGGCTAAGAACGAGCAACCTGCAAAACAGAAAATTACATCGTTGGGCTGGGGAGAGCAAGCATGACTGGAGTGAATTCAAATCAGAGCTGGTGTTAGCTCAACTTTGCTCGTAGTTCATCCCTAATGGAAGAATAAATGTGAAAAGCTTTCAATCAGTCCCCTTTGATTCCTACCAGCATTTCTAGGCAGACACACAATAAGATCTAATTTTGTAAGGGAAGGGAAAGCAGGACACTGTTCGTGTTTGTGCAGCTTGTTTAAAATGTGACGTCTATTTACTGGTGCATTATTTCCTATTACTCCCAAAGGAAGGGTTTCATATTTTTTTTGGTGAGGAAATTTTCTGCGTTGCAAACACAGATCACGGAAAAGTAATATTCCTTTGTGACAGCAATGAGGTGAAGACATGAATAATTTAAGTTTTTATGGTGTGGCTTAAGCATTCCTGAGAAAGAAGCATGTCTCCTGCTTAGGCAGGCAGTTTGAAAGTACGTTTAGCACTGTGGTTCTGGCAACTGCAGAAGGGAGAAGAGAGAGAGGAAGAGGAGGAAGGGGAGGAAGAAACCACTTGCACCTTGCTGTCTGCAGAGAGCTCATGGGAGAGTTGGGCTGGCATCTGGGCTGAGCCCCACCTGAACACTGAAAAAAGATCGTAGCTCTTGCCTGTCATTAAACAAGGAGGAAAGACTTAAGTCTTTCTGCAAAGCTGCAGAAACCATTTGCTGTCTTTCTCAGCTGTGACTACATGCCCAGATGTTAATATATGGCCTTAATCTGGGCACAGTTACACTTCTGGTTGTAAAACTGGGAGTTCGAGGCAATGCACTGAGCACTTCTGAGACTGATTTCAGTTTCATGTAAGCATGACACGGACATCCATTTCTCCTGAGCCTACACCTTAATCAGTACTTCCACCATTAATAGTTAAAATAAGTTAAAAGATAGCAAGCACTCCGCTATTTTTAATAGCAGAATGCTTAGCATTCTTTGCTTAATCCTTATTTTACCATTACCTCACTTATTTAATAACCCTAACAACCTGACTTCTGGGAGAAAGGATTTTTGCTTTAGAGCCTTCATAATTTTGGCCAGTGAAAAACTGATGTCCAGAAAACACAAAGAAACTAAATCCCCATATAAAGCATGGGGCTATGTGTGGAACAGATGCCTGGAGAAGCCAGGAGAACAGATTCCTGGTATGTTAAGTAAAGTATCCGAATTTATTTTTATTGATTTTTCTAGTAAGAGCATTTGAAAATATCTACTGACCCCAGGCCAAAATGGAAACTCTTAAACAGGCATATAAATGTCATTTTTTGATGATATAAATGCCATATTTTGGAAAGCCAAAACAAAGATGCCCAAATAGAGCAATTATTTAGATTGCTGATTATGTATTTGACGTGATTGCAAAAGGTCACTTGTCTCTGGCTGAAGCAAACAGAGACCTGGGATGATCTCATCAGCTGTAAAGCACAGGGGGGTCAGGTCTAGTTCATCTCTGGATGGAAGACTTCAAAAGAAGAAAACCTCTCAAACTGAATTAATGCGATGACTCCCTTTCATCTGAGTCATTACTGATCAATTGTTGCGGCATGATACTGAGGGCACTGCTCTGCGGTGGGTGGGAGCTGGGCACAAACCAGAGCAGCATTTTCAGCCACGTGCAGTGCTACCAGGCAGGGTGTTAGCAAGCTGGCCTGGCTCACTTGCAGTCCGAGTAATCGCAAGCTGTGAGCCTACATCAGTGCAGAAGGTTCAAGAGGCTGTGATTCCTCGCATCTCCTCCCTCGTGGTGCCTTCTCGTGGCACAAAATTTGGTCGTGCTGTACTCGAGCATGGGCTCCGTGAGCATTTAGTGTGCAGACATGTTAATGATGCAGGCACTGGCTAAACAGGAGAGGTCGTATCTCTACGTAACAGCAGTGTCACTCCGTGCCTGTTTTAATTAGAGGGAATATACCGGGGTTCTTTGCATGGGTGAACACTGGGAAAGGGAATGTCTTTTTTTTTTCACATCACTTAGGCTCGTTGCATCTCACAAGCATGTGATTCTCAGCCAGGTAGTGGATGTTGGTGATGTGATGCAACTCTTCCAATGGGTCACTGTAGCTGGAGTGCAAACTGCCTCCCGGGGAGAGTAAATGGCTGTGCTGAGCAGCTGCTCCGTGGCATCCCAGGCTCCCGATGTTGATCCATTCCCACCCAATTGCTCCCAGTGCTGGAGTGCTTCCAGTGCCACCCACAGAGCTCTCATGTGGGGTGACACCCAACCTCAGTGCATCCAGAGCTCCTAAAGGCATTGATTTCCATCTCCCAGAGCCAAGTAAAAATCTGTGTTTATTTTTCCTTCAGACTTTTCGAGACCCTCCAGTCACTCTTCTGGTCTGTGTTCGGTCTGCTGAATCTCTACGTCACCAACGTGAAAGCCAGACATGAGTTCACAGAATTCGTTGGAGCCACTATGTTTGGAACCTACAATGTCATCTCTCTCGTCGTGCTGCTGAACATGCTCATAGCCATGATGAACAACTCCTACCAGCTCATTGCTGTAAGTTATCTTATTCTCTATCTTTCCACGTTCGTTTTTCCCCGCCATGCCTCATCCGTTTGCCTTGTAGCAAGTGCGTGTCTTCTGGGACGCTGGAGACTGCTGCCCCCACTTTTTGACAGCAGATAGTTGGGATTTCTACTCACTAGCTTGAATCATGCTTGTGGAGGAGGTTTTGCTCTGTTGTAATGTTTCATATCTGGAAAAAGCTTATTACCTCTGAATTGCTCTTGTCTTCTCCTGTAGACTACCTGTACTGATCACTTTGTCATTAGCAGCTGATTTGCTATGTAGCAGAGAGGGCATATAAAGGGAAGCCTTTCCGCTTCATTTTAGCCCATTTGTTTTTAACTTGCATTTTTTTTTTGTATATTTTTCCCTCTCTCCTATTACTGCTTTCTCATTTGAAACTGTGTGTATCGGGCACCCAATCTGCAATTTCTTATTCCATACTCTTCCCACTGAAATTAGATCATTTCCATCTGGAACTGCAACCAGTCTTCTGGCAGCTGACTCCCTAAACCTGTAATCTGAGATTCCTGGGTAGCCTCAGCGCAGGATGAATCTGAGCTGAGGCAGCTCCAGGCTGCCAGTTGGCTGTAGAGCCAGTTTCAAACTTAACTTTATCTTCATAAAAATGTTCAAAACTGGTCTCTCTACTGTAATCTCATTCCATGTGCCTAAAAGCCAATCTGTACATTTATAATTACATTTGTCAACAGATTGAAAAATAAAGCAGCATGGCTCTGCATTTTAAGGGTCTTTAGGTAAGCTACTCAGAAACAGTACAGAACAAAGCTCAATTCTGTGTGCAGAGCACTTAAGGTGAACCACTCTGCACTTTCTAGAGAAGAGCTGATAAAAAGTGACATCAACTATGAACAGAAACAGGAGTTATGAAGTCATTCGTGTCCTCAGCTGGTCATTCAGAAGTACAGGCAGAGCAGAGACTTCCTACTCTGCATTGTATGACTGCTGGATTTACTCTAGAGGAGTAAAGAGGTAGAGGAGAAATCCATCTTTTTCTCAAAACAGAAAAAGAACCTGCAGCAGCTCTGCTACTGCTTCTATTCCCAACTTCCCAGGGAAGTGTATGGGTGAACTCTTTTGCTGGCTGAAGCACGCAGAGAAGACTATTGAGTTGTCTGCTTGAATGGCTTCCACAACTGCTGTTGATTACCTGCTGATTCACGCGGCTCCTAAATTCAGTTACCTAGTCAAACTGAGCAGAAACCCAGCCAAATCGGTGATACTTTAGAACATCTGATCTTTATCATGTTAAAACGTATGAGAAAAAGTGGACCGCTGACCTTCCAAAGGAGCAGGAAAGCAGCTTATCGCAAAGGCATCGCTCCTTTATCAGTTTGTTTCAATGCTTTAAGTGCTTTCTCTTTGTTCACTGCTACTCCTCACATTCCAGGGAGACTGGAATGAGGGGCAGAAAACAAAGCTGTTCTCTTTAGACATTTTCTCCCATTCCCCTTGCTTTATTGTCATCAAACAGGCTTGTCACTGACACAAAGCCCAAATTTAAGACTAGCTGAAGAATGGCAGTATTTGTTATTCACTGGGATATAAACCACTCATCCTTCTTTTCTCAGAATAATTTGAGTGCTACAATGACACATCAGAAACAATCCCACATCTTAGAGAGACTCATCATAAAAATTAACTGAAGTGAATGGTCCAGAGCATGGAAGTCTGGTTTTCTGGAAGTTTTTGTATACCCAGCATTTGGGAGTAGTGAATTCCTTCCTTGGAATGTACTGCTTAGGAGAGACCTGGAGGTAAAGGGCTGGCATCACCAGGCATAGCCTAGGCATAGCAAGCAACTCGGCGTGCAGCATGAGGTGAGGCCCCTGCTCAGAGTAACAACAATGAAAATGCTCTGGGGTACTTCTTTGTCACTTAAGCTGTCATATGGCAATTACTACTGAGAGCAGTGACATTTCTTAGGAGGACAAGACACAGTCACTTCCAGCCTCGGCTGGGGCACTGCGTGCTGCTTTGTTTCTTGAAGCTAACATTTCTGCATGCTCATAACATTCTCCCAGGGACAGGTTTTCTTCATGTGTCTTCTAAGGGCAAACATCAATTAATTTCTTCCCTGAAGAAAATAACTCATTAATAAACGTTGAGCTTTACAACTGTGGGTCATTTTTTTTTAACCTCCTGTAATCAGCTCTTCCCCTTCTGAATCACAGTAGACAGGTTGCTGAACAGGGCATTTCCTCCTCCTGATGTTTATATTACATCGAATACACAACGAATGACAGCATCCCACCAGGGAGGGAGGAGGAGAAAGGGCAAGACACCCTTGGAGTGGGGTCGTCTTCTCAAATACAGCAGTAGAAAATCTTTTGCCTTGTGCAGGACTACAGAGAAATAAAATGAGCTAAACGTCAGGAATGACAGCACACCATTGCTTGTTGATTTCCCAGCAGCTGAGTGGTAAGAACATCTTCATTAATTCAACTTGCTAATGAGCCAGTGGCACCGCTGCAATGCAAGCATTCTTTCTCCCCTCTTTTCTGCCATCTCTCACTTTATAGCCGTTTTGTCACCAACACAAAGCCTTCAGGCTCGCTGTTCTCTATTGTCTCATATGCACACGAATTTTCTGCTGTGAAGTCAGAGGATGGAGAAGGCAAGCTGTTCCTACCATTGGTCATGTTTCCCCTGTATGGGATTTGGGCTCTGTAGTTCGTTAAGTACCACAAGCACACGGTATGAAACCACTGCGTATCTGTGGAAGGCAGAGCAAGGCAAGCAAAGAGTAAAACATGCACAGAGCTTTGAGGGATTCTTGACTCACAGAAGAATTTTTCTGAAATAATTTTGTTGTGTGGTTTTTGTTTAGTTGGTATTTTTTGTCACTATGCTATTTCAGACTTCAATACACATATTTTATAGGGGTACCCTGAAGCCATTTCGATACTGATTTTTTTCATGCTAGACCATTGTCAGTAGCAGATTATGGGAGACACTATGTTTTACTGAAAATGCAAACAAAATCCAAAGGCACAATGAAATGTCCACGCATTGTGGGCTGTTTCAATTTGGGAAGATCAGAATGTTCTATACAAGCAGCACAGAATGCAATTGGATGTTATGCACTGCTGGGTCTCTCATCTAAATACCTTCCCAGACGTGACAGAAATACCATCCCCTGATGAATGCAAGAGGAATGTGTCATGATGACAAGAGGAAGGACAATGGGACTTATCTGAGAGTGGCCAGGTGGCTCCATCACTCACAAGTAGGATAAAGTAACAGAGTGGGTAATGAGCACATTTTATGTGATAGGCTGTTTCTTATAGGACTGCCACTTGGCTGTGTCTGAAGTTGTACAATCCTCCTGCCAGTCTTTTTTTTTTTTTTTTAAAGGTGCTGTTTTGTCAAATCACTGTGACAGTGGGTATTGTGACACCCAAGCACGCATGTCTTCTAGGTCCCGAAGGTGCAGGTGCAATTTGGTGTTCTGTGGTGCAAGTGCATTTTGCAGGAAACTAGCACTCGATCTGTATTTTCTGAAAGCATGTTCCTCATGGACACATCCACCAGAGTCTGGAAAGCCACACGGGAATTACTCACTGGGACTGTACAAACAGTTCTGACGTGCAGCTGCAGGAGCAAGGGAAACAAGATCGATAGAAGAGGAGCTAAGGCTCCTTCAGGAGGGAAACCGTAGGGCTGTGATTTGGATTCCAGGTGGGTTAGAGCAACAAGTGGCACACAACAGCACTGCAGCACCAGGCATCCCACCGACATTAGGGAGAGCTGTAAGCCCTTGCAGCTTCCAGAAGTTTTAGGGAAGAACAAAGATGCTTAATGCCTCGGGAATAGCACCACACCAAAACAGGTCTGGGAAAAATTACCCTTAACTACTGCTACCGTGCAAGAAAGTGGTGTTACTTCTGCATGCCTAATTTTTTCCAGTGCATCTCTGAAGGTAGTGTGTGACCAACCTGAGAGCTACCAGTGCTGATATTGGAGAAATGAGGACTTTGGACACCAAGCAAGGAGTGCAGGTTTAAATGATAGAATGAAACAGAGTGAATTAGCACATGTTGTGGAGAAGAAGAATGAAAAAAAAATAAATATGGTGTATAGCAAAACAAAAGCTGTATAGTAAACAGAAACAGTTGGTATGTACAGCTAAAAATAAGCGATCACTTTCAGGAAATTGACTTTCAGTGTAGGGGTGCTGTACATGGAATTGTCTTCATTTTTTTTCAGAGTAGAGAGCTTAAAAATGAAAACACAGAAGAGTCTAAAAAACCATCCAATTCCCTGTTCCATTGTTTCCAGCCTGACTTTGGATTTCCCACAGGAGGGAGTATCAAGCTTTTATTGATCTACAATGAAAAATAAATTCCTCTGGTTCTCTACACCAGCTGAAGGCCTTCACCACCATGGCAGTAACTGGTAGCCAGTTTACTTCATGACTGCTGCAGAAATTCCCTTCCTCACTGTGATCTGTGATCCTTTGGGCTGTCCAAAACTATTGCACCTCCTCTGCTGACGTGAACTGCACAATGACTACTTGGTGTTTTTGCTAAGGAAGAATTTGACAAATCACAAAATGGTAATTCAAGATGCAGAGCTGGACAGTCCCTGCACATGGCAAGGTTTGGGACAGTGGATTGTCCCCCTGTAGAGGTGAGGCCAGCTCCAAAGCCCAAACTAATATCCAAGCTCTGCTAAAGCATCAGGAAGTGTTTGTCTCACAAGAGCCATTCAAGAACCATTAATTCGAATTTCTTAGGAGAAATTGAGATGTGCTTGGTTTTGAACTCTGTCACAGAGCAGGAAATGAAATTATGTGCTTGTTGTCAATATGAGCTGGGATTAATAATTCATCTTGAAGCTTTTTACAGAGTAACAAAGCAACTAGGCTCTAGAAAGGGAGTTAAATGACTCTCCTTTGGTTTGCCAGCTGAATGAAGTATCGGCATTTGTTCCCCGGTTTTATGGTCCTCAGGTGCTCCAGCTGGCTGCTGCACACATGCTGCTGTCACTGCTCACGTACAGACCCCATGTCCTGGGTGCAGGTAGTATGCTCAAGCCCTTCCTTCAATCTGGTGTAACCACAGTCATCCAAATCTCAGTTACCACACTCTCAAAATTCACCCATCTCATCAGTAACAATTAATTAAATCACAAATCCTCCTGAACTGTCGCAGTGCCTTCTGTGACCTCTGGACAGGCAGATTTCCATCGCTCTCCAGTTCCCTCCTTGGGAGCTCAACGTGGTTTTTGAGGAGTGGATTGATGCCCAAGGCTGGGTGCTGTCTCTGGAATTGATGACGGGGTGCGGAGGACTCCCGGCAGATTTCTGTTTGAAAAGCAGGGAAATAGATCTCAGTGATGATGTGCTGCGATACCGCCATACGGCGGGAGGCCAGTGTGTGGAATTAGCCCCGGAGCCTCGCTGTAGACTGGCAGGCAGCTTAATTGCTTTTTGTTAGCAAGCTGAAGTATTCATTTGAAGGTGTAGAACTGTTTGTCTTTTTGCTGGCTTTGGCCTAATTACATATAACCCATGGACTTGAATCAAGTTGTTAATATTCATCTGGTGTTTGCAGAGCCTCTAAATGGGAGCACTCTCTATGCTCTGACTTCATCTTCTGCATCTTCCTTCTGTTGTTAGAGCAGACAAAGCTAATTTGCCATCCTAGGGCCTGATCCTTGCAAGCCCTTGCTCATGTAAGTATTGTCAGCAGGATCAGAAAGATAAAGCTTTCTGGTGTTTTTAATCTTTTTTTTTTTAATTTTAATTTAATGTATTTATCTGACCCCGTGTGCCGCCAGGGCCAAACCACCTGGGCGTTATTCAGAGGAGTGGAAACATGACATTTAAGTAAAGACCAAGATCTTCAGATTTTGGGGTGACCCCAGGCTGATTTAGAATATTATAGGGAATTTGCTGGCCCTGGCGTGGCTGGGTTTTGTTTCCCCTGATGTACCACGCCGGTGCCCCACATGACAGGTCAATAACTCTCTGCCCGTTACGTCGAAGCAGCGCAGCGAGGTTCGCTCCTGCTACATGATAGAAGCCGAAGTATCCAGATGGACCCACACAGGTTGCAGCCCCCTGCACTAGCCCATCTTTTATTTAGACCTGACAAGCTCAATTAGCATTATCTCGTGCTTCTGCATCAAGGGGACTTCTGTTAAGACGGCAGAGGAAAAGGGAAGAAGCAGAAGAAAAAGGAAAAATGTTTTTGAGGAAAAAGCAGTCAAAAGAGAAAAGGGATTTGTCTGTGAACTGTCACCTGATGGTAAGCAATGGGAACAGCTATATTGAGATTCCCCTGAAATATTACTTCTTAGATTCTAGTCACAGAAATCACAGACTCATCTAGGTTGGAAGAGACCTCAAAATCACCGAGTCCAACCTCTAACCTAACGCTAACAGTCCCCACTAAACCATATCCCTAAGCTCTACATCTAAACGTCTTTTAAAGCCCTCCAGGCATGGTGACTCCACCACTTCCCTGAGCAGCCCATTCCAAGTGCCTAACAACCCTTTCGGTAAAGAAGTTCTTCCTAACATCTAACCTAAAACTCCCCTGGTGCAACTTTAGCCCATTCCCCCTCATCCTGTCACCAGGCACGTGGGAGAACAGGCCAACCCCCACCTCACTACAGCCTCCTTTAAGGTACCTGTAGAGAGCGATAAGGTCGCCCCTGAGCCTCCTCTTCTCCAGGCTGACCAAGCCCAGCTCCCTCAGCTGCTCCTTGTAAGCTACTGTAGCTCTGCTTAGGGTTGTTGTGCCCCAGGTGCAGGACCCGGCACTTGGCCTTGCTGAACTTCATACAGTTGACCTCAGCCCATCGGTGCAGCCTATCCAGATTCCTCCTGCAGAGCCTTCCTACCCTCGAGCAGATCGACACACGCACCTAGCTTGGTGTCATCTGCGAACTTACTGAGGGTGCACTCAATGCCCTCATCCAGATCATCGATGAAGATATTAAAGAGGACCGGCCCCAGCACCGAGCCCTGGGGGACGCCACTAGTGACCGGCCTCCAGCTGAATTTAACTCCTTTCATCACCACTCTTTGGGCCCGGCTACCCAGCCAGTTTCTAACCCATTGAAGTGTGATGTTAGTGCCGCATGGATTTCATCTTTAGCACGCTGCAGTATAGCAAGTAAGTTCACGCTAATTATGTAGGTGAAACAGGATACATACAACTCCATCCAATTAAACAGAAAGATGTTTAAGAACCTGGGTGCTGTGCTGCAGTCACAGTGTTGTCTGGTGCAGCTCCCCCCAGCTCCTCAGCTGCACACCCAGTGCCAGAATCTGGGGGAGAAATAAGGACTTCATCTCTTAAATCAGTGCTCTGTGCACGGCTCGAGATTCAGTTACGGGACTTGAGCAATCTCATACCTTCATAATGGTTTCCTTTCTTTTGCCTCAAGGATATGTTTAAACAACCAGAATATTTAGCTACAATTTTTCATTTTTGAGCAATTTTTCAAGTTTTGGCAGCTCAGCTCGTGCGCTGCATTTAAGTGACTGTGCAAGCAGGCTACTGTCTGGAGGCGTCAGACACCGGCTTCTCCCACCGGTGCTGCGACCTTTACAGCCTCAAGAACAGACACAGTCCATCTCCACTCCTCTGCTGAGGGTGGGCAGTTCACAACGAATGATAAAAGCAAAAAAATACCTGAACAGCTGTGCGTGGTTTCACTGATTAACTATAAAAGTTTGGGAATTATTATTTTATTCTTCATGTTAGTTAAGGAAGGATTATAAAGGCTACATATATATTTATATAAAGAGGTTGTAAAGTCTAACAAGATACCAAGCCTTGATCCTGGGCAACTCCTGCAGCACATGAAAACAGCTCCCAAGGTCAGACCAGTGATGAATTTACTGTTGTCGCTGCCTTTCTGGCCAGCTGGATGTGGCCAGATATCCTGGGACACATTTGTATAGCAGAGGAGCCAGTAGCAAAGAACATAAAACGTACTTTGTGAATATTCATATTCAGAGCTCGGATCTGAAAGTTAGACACAAGTGCCCTTATCTAAATAACACGTTAAATAAACTGCTAGAGCTGTAAATACCTTTGGGAATGACTGACATCGCATTTCCTGGTTGAAATCACACCCTCTTAATGGCACAGGCTGGATCCTGAGATCTGAAACTCACAGGTGGACCCTAACTGGGCTTTTGCTTCTTGGGACTACTTTCTCTTAAAAAGAAAAAAAAAAAAAAAAAGGAAAAAAAAATAATGAAGACAGCTACAGAGAAGTATGCGATTCTCCTTGATATCTGGCTCTCACCAGTCTAGCAATAAAATTTAAGACATTTCTTCATCCTTGGAAGACTCCAATCCCAGGTTGCTCTGCTATGCAGAAAAAATAAGCTGTGATATTGTGGAAATAGCACGAGTAGAAATCAGGCTTTCTAATTTGCCACAGTACTAAGAGTCACCAGTGCTCAAACACTGGGGGTTAGACATCCTTTTTTAGCCCCCCATTTCTCCATGGGCATGTGTGAATTACTTGATTGTGACCTGGCTGGAGGTCGTTAACATTATCAGCACAGATATCCGCCTTATCTCTCTGACTGCCAGCTTGAAAAGAGGCTCTTATCAGCTGGAGATAAGGGAGAGAGGATGGATGGCAGGAAGAACAAAGCCTTGGTGATATCTCTCTCATTGTTTCTTCTTGCTGAGTTTTTTTCTTAGAGCACTATTTGTCTACACGACCTTCATAGAGCTCTGATTTATTTGACTGTTAAAATAAAAACTGAACTTTGCTGGAATATGACTGAAGAACAAAAAGGCGTCAATTCAAATCATTTACCGACGCTAAAAGCAGCACAAGGCGCAGCTCCCTGCGTTTCCTCAGATCCGATATTCCCTGGCCTTCTCATTAGCCATCGCTGTTCCCATCCAGTGCGCTGGTGGGAGATGAAAGGTAATTGATATCTGTAACCTACATGCGAGGTGGAATGGTGTGCGCTGCCAGCTGCAATAACAGTGGTAATTATGAGATCTTCTGCACCCAGCCGATACGAATAGCAGAGCTGCTAAGGCAGGCCTTTTCCAGGTGGAAGCATGCTGCAGCATGGAGGGACGGCGGAGGAAGTCGTGGTCAGCACATCAGCACCGTCGCTGGGCCTCCAGAGTGTTCCTGGGGCAATTCCCATGCACAGAGGGGAAGCTCCCAAGAGGACTTCCCATAAACATCTGTAACTGGGACCCATGAAACTTTGCAGCATGACAGTTACCTCGCTGGGAAGTAACACCTGCCTGCCGAAAACAAGTGGCTAATACTATGAGGCAGTAAGGTTTACATGCTAAATCCTTGGCAGAAGCTTTAATAGCCCCTAAAGCAGAAGATGTGAGGATAGCTTACATTTGATGTTCCTTGACAGCGATTTAAAGCACTAGGACTGCCGTTTCTGTGAACCTGGGGCTTCCAGGCTTCCTCCTGTGCTGGAGCTGCCACGATGCGCTGCAGCCGCGGCACGCGCTGTCCTGCTTCTGCCTGACCTTGACAGCAGGACCCAGGAGGCTGGGGGATGTTATTTTGGGTTTGATGCCACTTTTTTGTAAGATCTGGCCAGAGCAACTGGTGTGCTTAGACACAGATGGCATTTTGCTGCCCTTCAGTGCACAGCTGCCCTACCTGCTTCTGGCGAGTGCTGCCTGTTGGCTTTGTGCTGTGCTCACTAGGGTGTCTTGAGCTTGGGCACTGCAGAACTAAATCCTTCACCAGTTTCTCATTAGCATCTTGTTCTACGGACTGTACCATGACTGGGCTCCTCATCTGGCATCTAAAGGCTCGCAGTCCCACTGATGGCTTGTCTGCTATGGAAAAATTTATTTATTTTTTCCTCCCGTGTGCTGTGTTTGATTTCTCCACCCAAGGGCCTTGCTACCTCCTGCATTTTACCAGATAAGGCTTGCTCTTGTCTGAAACCAAGTCTTTACCTGTATCCTGGCCCAAGACTTAATTTTTCTCGTACCCCAGAGTCAGCATTTATGTGCATTTCTTTGAGACCTGCACGTTTCATGAACACACTTTTCCTTTCCTGTCCTCTGTTGGCACCAGGACATGCGCAGCAGCCCCAGCTCCCTCCCGCACCGAGCACTGTGTCCTTTCCTGCTTGTTGTGGTTTGCTCATCAGCTCCCTGGCCACGCAGCTCCCCACCCCAGGGGTCTTTCACACCTTAGGTGCTGGGCTGTGTCAGCCACGGACCCGTTCCCCAGTGCAAATATCCTGTGGCTGCTCGGGACCCGGCTGTTCTGCCTGGTGCACTGTGATTTCACACTAGAGAGTAGTTTCATCTCTTCTTTGGCTGTCTCATTCCCTGTTCTAATTGCTTTTTCTAATGCTAGATAGTCCTCCTTTAGCAATTTTTCTTGTATTATTTTTGAGATTGATCCCATTAAGTTCTTATCCTTCAGTATGTCATCCCCAGCTTTGAAAGCAAAGTCATTTGTTGTCAGCTGCAGCTGAATTACCTGTGCATTAATTGCCTTTGTAGGTCCCAGATTTCGCTCACAGATGATTTTTTTCTTTGTATGAAATATCTTTATTTGAAAAATATTCAGCGCCATTTACCTCAAATAGCCTGCTTGGGTTTTTGCTGCTTGCTTCTCTGAGCTTGTCATTAAGCCCCCAAGCTCCGTCGATGTTATTACCAGCTTGCACAACACGTATTACAAAATTAACAGTCTTGAAACTGCAGAAAAGTTGTCTGTGTTGGGTTCTGCAAAGATTAACGTTCTCCTGGCTCTCTTTCTACACTGCTTTCTGTTCAAGACACACAAAGGCATATTTTTTTGTGCTAGCCTGCTTGAAAGCCATTACTGATATATTTCCTGTGCTGTTACCTGCTCTGGGTTTAGCCTGCAAAGAGCAGTAACGAGGCACACGAGATAGAAATATACTAAACATAGTTTAATGACTTTCTCCTGCACTTAGCAGCTCAGCTAATTATACAGCAAAAAAGCACCTCTGACGTTTGTTCTGTGCCTCTCAGGGAATGGGCCCCTCCCTTACCCAGTGTGCTGCAAACCAGGCATGTCCACGAGCACCTCTTAAAGGTGGATGATGTGCCCCCTGCTTCCTCCCTGGAGGAAAGTCCTACAGCTTGGGCACTTCTTAACCTGTGGGGCTGCTGCTGGCACCTCCCGGGACAGCAGCAAAGAGCAGTCCTTGCAGAAATCACGCCAGCTTCTGCCAGTGCTCCCTGCACACCAGGAGCTGCCCGCGCCTCCTTCCGAGGCACTCAGCCACGGCCAGACAGCCTGCTCCCCAGGGCATTGTCACAGCCCTCTATATCTGCATCTGACAGGCAGCAGCCTGATTTCCAGCTTAGCCCACTGACTGTTGTATAATAAAATACAAGAAAGGCACACGCAGCCCTTTTTGTGCCAGCTCGAAAGATGCTAGACATCTTTATACATTATTCTGCACAAAGGGGTGCGGGGAGGGTTTGTGTCGTCGGGACACACTTCTTTCCTCTCGTTCAGGGAAGGGGAGAAGCCCTCCTGCACCTCCTTGTAGCATAAAGGAGCTGAAGTAGCTGATTATCCTGTGCTTGTCTTATCGTGGGTAAGTTTGGAGGTATCAGCGTGCCTGGCTGCTGAGCTTCATCGTCAGCTCTGTGCTGTTTTCACGGAGTGTTCCCAACATGGCTCTGCAGCAGCAGGGAGCTGCTGTAACCCCTCGGAGCCCACCAGCCCCGAGCCAAGGTACGCTCAGGACCCTCAGCCTCATCCCTGCACTTTCAGGGATGCCAATTCAAGAGGCACAAGATTGGTCTTTTGTGCTCTGATGTGCCCCAGGCTTGTGCTCCAGCTCCTGGGGGCTAAGGTAACAGTAGCAGCCTTTTCCTCCACCACCTTTTCAGCCGCCTGGGAGCTGAGATCCTAAATCCACGAACAAACAGGTTGAGAGGAACCTAGATGCAGAGGTAGTCACCTAATACAGAGAGCTGAAAGTCTTCCAGTGATGGGGCTGTGCTGGCTGGGCCAGGACCCGCTGAGAAGCTGGATGTTTTTTGGCAAAGCGTGATCTAAACCATATGGCCCAGCAAGGAGATGGTGACGGAAGTCTTTATAAAAAGCATTTTACAAAATGTAAACAACAGATTTTTCTGCACAGAGATAAAGATGGAGATTAATGCTTGAATTATCCTGGATAATTAGTGTAGCAGGTAATTATTTAAAATCGGGCACATCTGTGAATACATCACTTTGACTGAATTAGAAAATCCTCACAACTGCTACAGTAAGATGGCTCCAGCAGTCCCACAGGGAAATCTTTATGGGAGATTAATTCTCGCTTCAAATGGCAGAGATTTGCAAGAGGATTAGGTGGCCAGTATGACACATCCGCACTGTGACAGAAAGTGATCCAGGCTTTTTGTTCTCACACAAGAGCCGAGTGGTGCTTTCTTTGAGTTCACGTGTTCCTTGAGCTTGAGGGCTCGGCCCTCAGAAGTAGTGTTTTATAGCCGAAAAGATGAGCAGTGCTTGAAGGAAAGTGGTGACAAGAACAAGGGCAGGAGAAGAGCAGCTTGAAGAGAGGACAGCGAAATCCAAACTTGGATTTAAAGTCCTAAAAAGCAGCAAGGTCACGCTTGCAGAGCTGGTGGGTATGGTTTTCAGAGTACTATAAAGTGTACAAAAAACTTGTCACCTAACATTGTATGAGACAGCGCAGGTCTGGGAGGGCTGGGTGAGGAGCTGTGTGGACAGCAGCTCCCGTCACCCATCTCAGCAGCTGCTGCAGGAGCTCCAGGTTTGACCATCACTGCACGGCTTCGCTCGTGGTGGCCAGGCCCAGGCTGAGCAAGGGAACAGGCCACTTGGGTTGGGTTTTTGCTGTGTTCAGGAGCTCACGGTGAGCGTTCACTCATGTGCAGTCTTCAACAGCTTAGACACAAAGCAGGCTGAGGCTCGGGCAGCTCTCAGAAATGTGAGTCCTGCTCTGTGGCCTGCTGGGGAGATGCACCAAAAAGCTGGAGCACTTCTGGTAGGCTACCAGGCCACACTCCCAGCCAGCGCAGCGTCTGGCTGTACCAGCAAATGCTTCAGGTTTGGATGATTGGGTATCAAACAATGGCTGAAGCATGGTACTCCCTGTTCTCAGCCCAAGAGAGTTCAGAAAGCTGCTTTGTGTGCAGATCTCACTGCTTACAGCACTAAAGAGAGCTCTAACCAAGAAAATGGTGGTTTCCTGGCACACAAAAACACCCTCAGTAAAATTGAAATCGCTCCTTGCTGCATGATTCCAACACAGAGCTGGTGCCAGGAGCTCTCATCTGATTTGCTCAGGTTCTCAAAACATCAAGGTGAATACTCGAGACAGGCTGAGTTTGTAAACCCCGGGGAATTCACAGCAGCAGAAGAGAGGAAAAAAAAAAAGGAGATACTTTAGGCAGTGTCCAGGGGGTCTGTCTTTTAAAAAAGGTTATATGGCACTCCTGGGCTAAGGCTGCACAAGAAGTACCAGTGAGGCTGAAGCTGGCCTCCACCAGCCTCACCTGCAGCTGTATTTACATCATCAGGGATTTGTTCAGACCAACCACAAAACTTCCCCAGTGAGAAACTACCACCAGGTTTCATGGCGCTGCCCTACGTCTGCAATCAGCCCCTATTCAAGTCCATGCAGTACCATTAAATATCTTACTTTAAAGTAAAATAGCAAAAAGTACTCTCTACAGGAAGTTTATTATCCTTTTTCTTTCATTTCCCCCAAGCTAATTTGCAATCCCTGAGCTAGGGATTTGCCTTATCCTTCCCGACAAACAGCATCCAACATCTACTGCTAAATCACCTCCTCCCCCAAGACAAAAAACACCAAAAATACACGTTTCTATCCAAAATATCAGTCTTGCACTCTCCCTCAGCTACTGTTTTACCCTAAACTCAGTGTTTCCAGGTGTCTGCAGCTCCTGCACACCCTGAGAAAGCCTTGCAGCAGGGCTGAGTAACTCAGCACCACCCTCGTGCTGCCGCATTTAACGTGGATATTCCCCTGCAGCTGCTTGATCCAGCCTTCAGAGATGCAGCCACTGCTGGATTTTCCCCTTGGGCTAGTAGTGAGCCTGTCTGTGGGGAGCTGCAGCTCAGGCCCTGGTATTTTGGGGCGATTCAGCCCACCAGGATGTGCACCTGGGCCACCGAGGCAGTTGTGTTAAAATGAGAGCTGCACGTCATTTCAATACGCCATTAAAATGGAGCTGAGCTGCACCTCGCTGTCAAAATGTGAGCATATTTTAACCATGTCAGAGCACTGGAGCGTAGCCAGAATGCCAGTGTAATAATGTTTTGGGCATGATGTTCAGCCATATTTTATTAAACTCCCTGTCCTACACTTCACTGCGTGGGTCTGAGGGCTGCTGCCTGCAGCCCAGCATCCAGGAGGGCTGCTCCTTCCAGCCTCACTTAAATCTACTCAGAAACTTAAAATCATCATCGTGTTCTTGGTTAAATCTCACGTCAGATACCGCAAACATAAACACTAAACAGCTAAAACACTGTAACTATCAGCACTACATTCCACGGAGGTAAGAGCACACATCCTTACCGCTTAGATGCGGGTGCTACTGCACACTGTGCTCGGCACTGCTTGAAGGATTCGGCTTTCTTCCTTTTCTGCCCGGTGTCAGAATTCCTGCAAAACGTGAAATAGGGGCATTTTTTAAACTTCAAAACCAACACAAAGCAGCATGACATCCATTCTGAATGTGGGTTTTGTATTCATATGGACTTCATCTGCAGAGAGGGCTGCATCACCTCTCTGAATCCAGGCTGTAGGTTGTTCTCTTTGCTCCCTTCATGCTGAAGGGAACACGCAGTTTGTTAGCAGACAGCGTGGCACCTTGGCTCCGCAGACCAGACTGCAAATACCTCGATTTGGGGAGCTCCATTTTGCAGTCTGTAAGATCAGCGTCTTGCACAAGCTCAGTATTTCTTGGTGATGCTATGGACATGCTGCGCATCTGTGTAGCTGTGAAGTGATGCTAATAACTTTCCACCTTTGCTTTGTTAGGATGAAGAACACTAGAGCTAGCATGGTGTTGCAATGATAATATAAATAAATAAATAAATAATAAAAAACAGTAAAATGTTTCATGTTTGTGTAATGATAATGCAGAAGCAAGATTTAAAATATAGCCCCCAGTAAAATTTATCACTTCTCTATAAACAAGAGCTGAATGAATAGATGCTATAAAACAAATCAACAAAGACCACGAGAGATTTTTTTCCAGGGAAGAGCGTGAGAATTCATTGGATTTTGACATGAAAAACAAGGGTCTGTGATAATATAAAAAGCAGTAGCAAAAAGAAAAAAAAAAAAGTTTTCCTGTTTCTTTTACGGGTGAACTAATGTGCACAACCTCTAAATGATGAAGCATGGGAAATTTCTTTTTGCTATCATTACATTTCTCAGAGGTTGGTATTTTTATACTCAGCTACATTTCACACTGATTTTTTAAGTACACCCCCAGCGAGGGAGATGGAAGAAGTGTCACTGCTTTGCCTGCAGCCAGAGAAATGCTTTCTTGCTCGCGTCACCTCCTTAGTCGCTGACATTTGCTTCGGTAAAGCCTGCCTAAAGCTGTTGATATTCTCTTTCCTCCTCTCACAGGACCATGCAGACATAGAGTGGAAGTTTGCACGGACAAAGCTCTGGATGAGTTACTTTGATGAAGGTGCCACTCTGCCCCCTCCTTTTAACATCATCCCGAGTCCCAAGTCCTTCTGGTACCTTTGCAAGTGGATTCACAAGCAGCTGTGCCCAGGCAACGACTCCGACAATGAACAGAAGAGGCATGAAAACCTCAAAACATTCACAGTAAGGAGCTGCATAGTTTGAAACTTATTTTTTGGGGGTGCTTGTGCATGTTCAAGGTCACAAGGGATGCTACTGTGCTGGTGCAGCAGAAGGTTGCTGCTGGACTGGGACTTGCCAAGAGCCATCAGGACTCTACAGACAGGATTACATGTTGGGTAACATGCCTCTGCCTTTCTCGTTGCAGGAAAGGCATGCTGACAACCTCATTCAGAATCAACATTACCAGGTAAACTCTCCTGCAGATCAAGTTTTTACTTACAGTTTCTTCTTCCTGCTTATTTGCTACGATCTCACTTCTTGCTTTCTTATAGAATACATATACAAGTGTAGGAGCTCCAAGAGGATCTCACTTGGCATGGATTAAACATTTCCTCAATAGAGGTGGGGTGGTTTAGTAAATCACTCCTAGCCTTTCGCCTGCTCTGAAAACAGCAAACTTGCCAAGTAGCTCCCTGCTTGCTGAAGTCAAGGCAACATCACCATTGACTTTAGAGGGATCAGACTGTTGTGTCGTCCTGATTAAAACTGTTTTTGCAGCATTTTTACATACTCTCAAATTGTTCCTCTACTACTTTTTTTTTTCTGCAAGCCATCCCTAATCCTAACTCAAACAGCAGTTGAGATTTCCTTCAGTTTTGGACAGCTCAGGAAGGAGGAATTGTTCCTTTGTTGAATTTTGCTGTTTCTGTTCATTCTCAGCTTGCTTGTCATCAAGTGTTCATTAAATTCAACCTACGAAAGGATGAAACGGTATTAAAAACACCAGCTTCAGTGCTTGAATTCAATGTGATTATGCCAGCATGCTGGAAGGACGAAAAAATACCTCCTCAATGTTAGGTGGTATGTCAGACAATACTGTCAAAAGCCATAAATAATTTGTCTTACGTAGGACATCTCCTGTTTTCTGAAGAGTCTTTGTACGTGGCGTTGACACTTAACGTACTTAGTCACTTCTGATAAGAGACATTGGGTACCTTCTGACTTCACAGCACAGCTCACAGGTACCGAGAGTGGGATCTCGTAAAGCACCTCCCAGTAAACCCTTGGTGTGGAGCACAGCTTAAAGCTTGGGGTTACTCAGACTTCTTGTCTCCATTTATGGGGGAAAATGCAGGGAAGGTTTGGGGTAGTCTTTTCTGTATCCAGACATCAGCCTCTGTGTGTCAGGTAACAGACAGCAGTCCAAGCCTGCTTATGCAAAGCCAGCAAGGAGGTACACAAATGCAGAGCAAAATGGATCTCATCTAAGTTGTACCAAACAGCCCAGGTAATGCTGGGGAACAGTCACCAGAGGTGTGACTCTGTACTTCCAGTGCTGTCCACAGATGCTGCAGCAGCTCTGCAAGGATTTTTTAACCTCCCATTAGAGGGCACCCAGGCAGCTGGCAGATGTGGGCTAACGTGAATGTGCATCGCCCTGTAGAGTCCTGGCTGTTTGTTCTTCAGGTTATTTGTTGATAACACCATCATTTAAAGAAAAAAACCTTAAAGTGGCAAGCTTAGCCCATCAAGATACACAGCATATACACGTGAGACTGGTAATCTCGAAGGACTTTCAGCATCTGAGATTAAATAATGCATGAAGAGGTTTAAATGGCTTGAAGACATTTAAAATAATCTAGATTATTTTTTTCTGAACAAGTTTTACGTATGCAAAGCAAGTACATGGAATCAGCTCACTACACTTAATAGCTGAGCTTTCAAGATGAAATGTAAACAAGCCTCTGCAAAGGTTTGTTCTATTTGAAAGTGCTGTTTCTAAGAGTGATTATTTTTTTTAAGAGAGCAGAGTCAGGAGAGCTATCAGTAAGAATTCGGTGAAATACAGCAAGAACAGAATTTGGTCTGAGCCAGCAGCTGAATCACTTCTGTTGTTTCATATTTCAGGAAGTGATCAGAAACCTTGTGAAAAGATACGTTGCAGCAATGATCAGAACTTCCAAAACCAATGAAGGTTTGACTGAAGAAAATTTCAAGGTAACTTCCTAGTCTTTAATAATCATGTTACACTAATGCCAGTAGCCACTTGCAGAGTTCCCGCTAACTTGGGAATATATTTTGTGACCAGCAGTGGAAATGTGACTGTTACTGGAGCTGGGAAGGTATGCGATGTGCATGCAGTCTTCTTTTGAGCAGAGAATATTCCTTAAAAGGTTGTCTTCTCACAATGTCTCAGTGTGTCTTAATGCACAAGATTTTACATAGACAATGGCTTTGAAAACCGGTAAGAATGAAGTATCTGCTTTGAGTCAGCATTACGTTCCTAATCCTAAACTGAGTCAGGGTTAATGGATACAGAGAATATTAAATTTGGGCCTATCAACTAAAAGATTCCTGCAACATTTCTAAATTCCAACAGTTTCACTTTTACTATAAATGTCTTATTTAGGCTTTCCTCAACCCCAAGCAGGAAGAAGAGGGGATAAGGGGGTGGTCACAACGGCTGGTCCCACAGCCCTTGAAGACAAAGATCTTGTAAGCTCTCCAACTCTCAGGCTTACCAATAAATTTTTTCACGTCACCAAATCATAAAGATGTACGTAGTGTTCTTGTAAGTCTGATTTGGTGTCAGCCATTTGCATAACTCTTAACAATTCTCCCAAGAGAAACTGATCTTTCTTTCACGTCACGGATGATGCTGTTGAGTGGCACTCATTTTCCCTCTTGCCCTAGGAATTAAAACAGGACATCTCAAGTTTTCGCTACGAAGTCCTTGATCTCCTGGGAAACAGGAAGCCCCAGAGGAGAAGTTACTCTACCAGCAGCACAGAGGTGTCCCAAAAGGATGAAACAAACGAGGATAGTGCTGGGGAAAAATCCAAAGCCAAGAGCGTGTCTTTCAATGTAGCCAACAAAAAGAAGGACTTCAATGTATCTGCTCTAATTAAAACCATGTCTGGGATTGATATGGTGGAAGAGAAGCCAAAAAGCAATGGGATCAGTAAGCGCTCCTTCATCCGAAATGGAAATAGAGTTCAGAGGCTTTCCAGCTCCAAGAAGGAGTCCTTTAAGAGACTGGGCCTGCTGTTCTCCAAAATGAACGGGCATGTCCCTGAAGCAAATTCAGAGCCCATGTACACTATTTCAGATGGAATTATTCAGCCACACTACATGTGGAAAGACATTAAATATTCTCAGATTGATAAAGAGAGAGAAGAGAATTGTTCCAAAAGTGAAATTAACCTCAATGAGGTGGACTACAGTGGGAACACGAGACTTACAGGACAGAGCAAGGAGTGCCCTGTGGTTTGTACCAGCTCCCTTCACTGTGCTTCCAGTATTTGTTCCTCTAACTCCAAACTTTTAGACTCATCAGAGGATGTGTTTGATTCATGGGGAGAGGCTTGTGACTTGTTTATAAACCAGTGGAAAGACGGGCAGGAGGATCATGTAACAACTCGGCTATAAGTAAGGCTACCTTAACACCTGCTAGAAAACTTAGCTAATTATTTGTAATTGTTTGCTCTCACCTGATTCAGCATTATGAATTCCTTTCTGTCCACAGGAGAAAAAAATGTAAAATTACTTATGTTAACCTATTTTATAGCCATCTGCACCTTTTTTAGTTTACTTTTTTACACTCACAAATACTGAACTGAAGGTTTCACTATTTATAAGGTCACTGTAAACTACGGGACTCCTTCGGATGCAGTCTTTGAATCCCACATAATTCAGACACGCTGGTGGCGGAGTAGAGGATTCCTCCAGTGCACTCATCATCTTCCCAGCACCGCTGGGTTATCATCGCTGCTATCCAACACCATCAGTTCCGCATCCTGCTCAAACTCCTCGGCATCACAACCAGCTGGTGAGCAGTGGCTTAGCAGGAGGCTGAGAATCATATTTGCAATCTTCTTAGAAAGTGTTTCAGGTTACAACTGGCTTTTTGTTTTCTTTAAGCAATACAACCTCTGATTCTTTCAGCTGCGTGTTTTTTGTTGTTGTTGTTTTTTTTTTTCAGGTCATTATATCCATATTGTAAAGTGTTACTGAATAAGAGACACCTTTGATCATGTGGCTAGAACGTGATGATTTGCTCATTTATCTAATTGCTATTAAGAAATTCCCCTCGTAGGGAGCAGAATGACCTCCCAGTTCGGCTGGCAGTGGAAGCCAGCACCTGGCCCTGCCACCAACTTCTACATAGATGAATGGACACACAGCCAGCTGTGGCTGCTTGAAAGAGAAACCTCAGAGTGGTTCTCCTATCACTGACAGGGTGCACCAAAACCCAGCCCTAAGCCTCCCCCTTACACCCACCCCCCTGAGCTGCATTTGGGTTTTGAAATCCCTGGCTTTATTTCCACTGCTGCATTCCTTTTTTTTTGCTGCCTCCCTGGTCAATGTCACGCTGTTAGGTAGAAAACCGTCCTCCTGGTGTACAGCAGCCACTGCCCTGGGTCTGTGAGCTGCATTTCTGAAGAGCAAGCTCAGCAGTAGCAGCTCAGACCGCAGCTGGCACCCTGGGAAGTTGCTGCAGTTCCTTTTCTAAGGTGCACCAAAAAGCAGTGCAGCAGTAGATGTTACCCTGCTGTATCTTTATGGTTTTTTCACCCCTACGGTTGTGCTAGGCCCTGTCTAGATATTACCAAGTCCCTGCGTTTTTGTCCTAAGGAGCATGAGACAGAGGAGAAGACAATAAGGGCAAAATGGTTGACACTGCTTTTTAACAACTTGATACCTGAATTTTCTTCCATGTTGTTGCTAAGAAATGCAGATGACTGGCACCTGCTGCTGCTTCAGAGCCGTCAGCTTTCTTGGAAGAAGCAAGGCCTGAGCTCAGAGATGGCCCTGCCTTACCCCAAAGCTTCCTTACGAGTCCGTGCAGCCAGGCTAAAGGCTCTGTTCCCAGGACAGGTCACAGGAGCTGGAGCATAGCCCAGGGGCAGGTGTCAAAAAATCACCTCTTGTGTGCAATACATTGGGAACTGCATTTGAAAAAAGCATTTATGAAGGCTGGAAAATCTACACCAACACCCCTGGCTCATGAGAAGCTCTGAATGCAGAGCTCGAGGTGGAGGATACAGCCAGCCACAGTGCCAAGAAAAAAGAGCAGCTAGGAGCAGAGACTCAAATGTGTTTCTGTTCTCCTTGCTCATGAACGATGCCAGCCTTGTTACCAGCATGCAGGACAAAGCCCAAAATATTTAAGCCCCTAGACAGGCTAGTTAAGACAGAGTGAAAAGCATTCTCATATCAACAGATTTCAGGCTTGATACTAATTGCAGGGTTAGAGCAGCCTTTGAAAATTGCATCTCCTCTTCCTGTAAGCAAGGCTGAGCAAACTGACTTTGGCACTACACAGGGAGACTTGCAGAATCGTAGGGTCAGAAGCAATTTGCTGATCTTCCAAGAAATCCAGCAGCCCTCTCTTTTACGATGCAAATCCACCCGTATGCGAGAGCTGCAGTGAGAACCAACTGAAGGCGAGTCTCAGAGCAGCCCACAATAAAAGCCTGCAGTTTAATAAACCAGCCTCAGCACATTTCTGGGAACACAAACGTTAGCAAGAGCTGCTACAGGGGGATGAAGGGAAGGGTTTGAATCATTTTATGCCTCACCTAAGCACATTGCAGTTTAGGAACTCTGCTTGACACGGGGCAGCACATCTTTGTTACCTTCTAGCACGTAGGAATGAAAACAACTCCAGCATGGTTATGCAGATTACATCAGCTGGGTTTAAAGCAGGTGTGGAAGCAGGGTTCATATCCTTGGATGGTGGAAGGGCTTTTAATTTTTCCATGAGAGCAAGCACGCTGCTACTGGCAATGACTAAATTGTGCCATTCAACTGCAGCCCTATGGTAACGGGTACAAATCTCAAAATGAAATGCAATTAACTCTGCAGCAGTGCCCCCCAAAAATGGAAAAATTACACTGGGCAATGCAAATCCCTTCTGTACGAACCGCGTGAGTCACGTTCCCCTGCCGTGCCCAGAAAGGGCAGGGGTAGGAACTGCCACATTGTAATGGCACAGTGAATCAGGCAGTCTGCAATAATTCCTTGGTAATGGTATGTTGAACACCAGAGGTACATCATGGGGCTGCTTGGCTGGGGCTCCTGCGGGATTTGTTTCATGATTCAGATACTTCCTAGCTCCCAGCTATGAGCCAGCCTCAGCTGACTTTTGAATTTCACAAAAAATATTTGATTTGTGTTAGTGATTTATGCATGTGTCCAGGAGGAGTTTCCAAAACTGTCAGACTGATCCCCAAAAAGCCAAGTCTGTGTGACTGCACCTATGCACCCCCTTTGGTAGCAATAGACTTCACAGCAACTAGTCAATTATTATTGTTGTTATTACTACTCTTAAGCAGGAGATTCAGGTGAAGGAAATTTAAATATTTAGTGAAAATACATTTGATAAGCTTCAAGGATAGTCATTATACACACGCTAGGAATTTGGGATCATACCAGGCTTGGTCACTTGTCCTGTCTTTAGGTTTCCTGCTCTTGAAGTAGCTTTATTTCTCACCTCCCATCCCTGGTGTCTTTTTCACCTGTTGTTTTAAAGCATCACACCTAAAAACCATCACCAGGAGAAAGGTAACACCAACATCCAGGTACAGAGCACCACACAGAGCTAGGAGGTGTTTGTACTCAGGTCAGAGATCGAAGAAGTTCTTTCAGAAGTAAGAAATCCAGCAGCATCTCTCCGCAGATTATTTGGGTAATTGTATATTAGTCATGTACTAGTGCGTGTGTAAATACTCAGCTGTTTGCATAGAGGTCCCTGCAGGAGCAGCACGCGCAGTGGTTCGGGTGCAGGATCAGAAACGAGGACTTCTGAGGCCTGTTCCCAGCTCTGCCACTGCCTCACCTGTGACCTTGGGCAAGTCACTTAGCCTCTAACGCCTCAGTTTCCCCATCTGTAAAATAGGGACAATAATTACTTACCTACCTCGCGGGGGGGTTAGTTCATTATTTATAAGCACTTTCAGATCTTCAATTTAAAGGCGCTATATACAGTCAGTAGTTGATACTCGTAGCAGTGGTATGTACTTTTGTTTTCTTATGACTAATTCAGGTTAGGACTTAGCTATGTACGTTACGATAGTTTTCCATGTAGAAAACTAGCATGATTTCCCACGAGGGGAATTTTGGGGACTTCTGCAGTAGACAGAGAGCAGGAGCAGCATACCTTGTAAGCCTAAACTCTGACATCCTCGCTTGCGTGCTTTGTGCCTCATCTCACTGTACTGCATTTGTGTTTCACCCTTTTTCTAACGGCATGTGTAAATTTTTAACAGAAACAGTCACTGTAAGTATTATTTAAATAAATGCATTCATATATAAATGTAAAACCTTACCTTTTGAGTAGGTTAAGAGCCTCCTAGGTTGGCTCTTGTGCCTCTGTGAGGGCTTCACCCTCATTTCTCCTTGGTATGGTTGCTTTTTCTGTAGTGCTTGCTCAGATAAGAGCCTTTCCTTTGAGTTAGAGGAGCTCTGAGACTCGCATGGTGAGGGCACGACCTGCATTTTGAGCTCTCTTCCAGGAGCAGGAGCAGTTGCAGGGTGTCTCCAGCAGACATTTGGAGAAGTCCAAGTACTGTAAGCAGGGACCTGACTTACTCCTGGGCTATCTTGCAGAGTCACAAAGCTACAGGAGCACCAGCTGCTCTGTGCCAGTAACCGCAGGTCCCGCTTCCATTGGGACTTCTCGGCCTTGCTTTGAAGTTTCTATTTTCCTTTCCCAAAGGCCGAAACCTCACACGCTTAAGTTTACCAGGAAGACATTCAATTTCGGTTTAGTTTTCGGCTGAATTCTCCCTCAACCAGTCTGTCTGCTGCGTGCCAACACAGAGATGTCCACGAGAAAGCCGCGTGCAGCCTCAGAGGCCCCTTCCCAAGGAACAGCATCGCCCCCCCACCTGTTAAAACTCGACAAAAAACAGAATGGAGAAGAAAAAAAAGCAAAGCCACCCAAATCACAAAGGCTGCCTAGAATTAAGGAAAGCTGTCACCTTACTAAAAGCTCTCTGGGGCTGTCTTTGGGGTGGGTGCACCCCGAGGGCCCCTTCCTCTCCCGGCAGCAGCCAGCAGCAGCAGCGGCTTCCATTCACGCAGAGACAAAATTAATTGGAATCAGTGAGACTGCCGTGAATAACAAATCCACTTGCTGGAGTAGCATCTGAAATAAACTTACCAAAATAACCTGCAGTTTTCAGCAAATGCGTAATTTGAAGCCCAACAAATATAAAACCAATCCCTCACTGGATTTTTTGGGGGTGCGGAGGGGCAGTCTGGGCTGGCCACCTAAGTGTATTTTCAAACCCTTTGTAATTCAACTCAATCGAGTTTTCACACTCCACTTTCCCTGTTTCAGACCATTACACTTGTACAAACAAGTCATTTATGCGATTTTCACATAATTCCCTCCACCCAAACTAACTACTGCTCTCGAGTAAGTTGATGATCAAGAATGATGCTTAAAAAGAAATCTAAATCTTAAAAAAAAAAAAAAAAAAAAAAAAAGTACATGTAAAAGGCAAAAGAAGCATTTGATCCTTAACTTCCAAATGTTTGATAGTGTGTTATGTTTCAGGGAAACACTTTTACTTGCTCTGCTTTTTTAAGGTGTGCAAAAATAAATAAAAAAATAAAGCCAACAGTAACTCCCAGCCTAGCTCAAATCACCCACAGTGTTGAAAGCCAAGTCGATCGTGCAATTCTGTCTTCATACATGGACCCTACTCAGTCGATGGCTCACCAACTATGGAAAACAGCACTGCCCATTCCTGCTGGCCAGCATATCCTCCTTCAGCATGGCTTCTTTTGTTTCTTTCGGGGATTTTCTTCCGTTTCCCCTCCCATTTACAGCATTTCCATCAGCAGTAACTCCTAAGCCAGGAGAAACAATGTGCTTAGACCGAGAGGTGATCAATCCAGGAGCTGTCCTTTCGGCACACGAGCTTAACAGAACACTGTGATACCTTTAGCCAACAGAATGAAATGCCTTTTGACTATAAATAGTTGTTTTTGAGCAAGGGGGGCACTTTTTGGTGTAGCTATTTTTTGGGGTATTGTACAGTTTTATTTAAAAACTACTGAATGTGTTTATAAGGTGGGTGTGGGAACTAGAGGGCTAGGGATCTTTGAGAAGCAAAAGGATGGTAGCAGACGCTTAAGTACTCTATTTTCTATATGGCAAGCCCTAGAGAATTGGGCTTACACTGCAAACAAGCTTTTTTTAGCAATCCAGTTTTAATATCAAAGTAAATCTTCATAGAAAAGCTATCACAGAAACAGCTTCACACCTGATCATATTCTAAAACGCCATTTCATGGGATAAAAAAAAAAGTGAGGCTTTTTTCCTCTTTTATTTTTCATCAAAACCTTAATGGCCTTTTCCAGGCAACAGAGCTTTCAGATGTTTGGAGAATTTTGCTTATGTAAAGACAGAGTGGGGACCTCAGCATTTGCCCATTGAGCAGTAGTAGCCACCCCTAGAGGAAGGGGAGGATGAAAAGGGGGAAGAGCAAAAAGCAAAAACAAATGCTTAGTTTTATGTACTTTTCTACTTGCATCTTTTCTGTCTGTAGTGCAGATTCCACGTCATTCCCTTGCATAACATGTACAAATGAAATGTATATAAATAAATAAAAATATTTATTTTATGTGTATTTTTAGCTTAACTGTAAACTGAAAAAAAAATAAAGCATTTAATTTTTTTCCCAAAAATGTAAGCCTATTGAAATTCAAGGTGTTTCTACCTTTTCAGATGTAACATTTCCAGCTGCCTATTGATAATAAACATTTATGAACAGTAAAGCACGTGACATCTTATATTTTTTACCACATTCCGCACAGCATCCTCAAGGGCTTTCAGTGGTCACAGGAGCACTTCAGGGCTCCAGTTCTATACAAATTTATATCAGTGTTTATGTGGAAAAGATGTGGTGTAGTCCTACCTATCTGCAATGAAGTCAGCCAGCCAGATGCAAGCAAGTGTTCGTGGGCAAGAGTTGAGCAGCACTGGCCTGTGCAAAAAAAAATATATTAAAAGAACAGTAATTTGAAAATCCCTTTCATTATATCCTCTCTGTAACAGGGAATAGCAAACCCACTTTAAGTGCTGGTAAATAAAATGCACCACATGAACACAATTACTCCTGTGCAAAGGAGTCCAAGTATGCATAATTCCATTTTAATTCGCTCCCCAAAGATATCCTTCCACCAGCATAACTACATCATCCACATTGGGCTATACAGCAATATAGCTAATAGCGTGAGATAGTCATTAAGCAACAACACATAACTACATTAACATAATTTGCTCGTGTTAAACTGTCCTCCAAGCAAATCTCATTAAAGTACTGGAGGCGTACAGTTAAATTTCAGGTTTCCAGCAGCTACCAGAAGCTCTCGGTCAAGTCCCCAGGAAAGCAAGAGCTTTCCCAAGTTATACAACACTCAAAGGATGTCCAAAGGCTTTTTTTAGAAAATAAAAAAAAAAATGGAAAAAGGATATTTCAAAATTAGATTCACATTCCCCTCTCTTATCGGAAAGCCTGGTAGTTCAAAGTTAAGGCACCCTGAATCCCCGGTTGTGTTTTCTACTCCAGAAACTGGGACCAAACTGCACCTGAAAATGACCTCCATGTGTACAGCCACGAGTGCAGAGGCAAAAATCCTGGAGTTGCTCAGGGAGCTAGGGAGGCAGAGGCAAGAGTTTTGCAGAATATCCTCTCCCTCCTTACTTGCACTTCCTGAGAAAGTAATACAAACCACACACTCACATAATCACTGCAAATATTAAACATTTTTGCTTTCAACTCTGGCCAATACAAAAAAAAACGATGTAAAGAAGCAGAAACCAGTCTGAGATTTAGATGAAAAATGGAAATTGGCAGGGTAGGGAACAGGAAAGATACATGAAGGAGACGGTAGAAGGATTTGGAGTATCCACTACTTTCATTGTTACAGGATGTGTCGCTTATCGAAGGACTGTTTTCTGTAACGCAGCGCTGTCAGGCAGCTGTCAGAGAGCCACGAGGGAAGGCAATTATCGTGGGGTAAACCTCGCACCCCAAAGCTGGTGGCAAAACTTGTACCTCCTCCAGTGAGGGCAAGGTTTAGCAACAGAAATAAGCATATTGCCATAAATGATCCCAACATGTGAAAACACCCCGCCAGGACCCAGACGCGTGCTGCTGTTACTGCAGATCACCACGCTTGCAGCAACAACTGAACTGCAAAAAGCGCCTGCCCGTAGCCTGTAGCTAACGCTGGAATATTTCGTACTTGCCTCGGCGCAGCTGACTGCGAAGTGGTAAGCAGCAGTGACTTGAAGATCTGTAAGGGCTTCTAGATACTGGCCTGCCCTGCAAAATTTAAACTCCAATCTTATTTCAAAGCCATAAGGTTCTAATTCAGGAGTTTTACCTTCCTCCCCTGTGATAAAAAAGGTTACTTAGAAGCTCTTCACGTTTGAATATTTCCCATCCATAATGCTGTGTGATTTTATAGATGAGGAGGATATCCAGCACCACTCCAGAGAGAACGGGAGGCTAAAGCCAAACAGCTGAGCTAGAAAAGCACCACGCTGCGGGTCTTTGCTCGGTCCTACCAACCACAGAGCAGTAGCCAACAACATCCCTGCAGGCTAATGCTGCTGGCAGGCAGAATCAGCGTGATTTGCCTCTACAGCACTTATAATAATTACCTTCGGTAACAGATGGATTTCACAATTCAAAAGACTTCAGAAAGACTCACGCCTCTAGCGCGCAGCAGGGACGTGAGGAATGTCAATGTGCACGGGCTGAGCCAGGACCAGTGCTGCCCCTCCGAAGTGCAGGAGGGTGTGCAGCAGCTCAGAAGAGGGTGAAATACTTATAGACAAAAGCCCACACCCCAAAACACAGAACTGTGGCTGATCACTGCTGGTTTTATCCTGTACTCTCAGAAGATGCTTGGCTCGGAGGCTGTCTCAGCAGTCAGAAGTGCCCACATCTGACAGGAGCACTGCTTGGCGGTGCTACCTGCTCACAGACCTCTTCTGCACAGCCTTCAGGTGATGATGTACTTGGAGCTTCTGCCTTTTACATAGGAAAATGTGGCATGGAAAAGGAGGTGGCAAGCATGACTAGCACCAACTGAGCAGTGAGTCTTCTCTTCTCCCATTTGAAGGCTGAAAAACCATCCACAAAAAAAAACTAAAAAGCAGCACATTTCAGGATCAAGTCTGTTTGCTTTAAAAAAATATTATGCAACATACTTCAAGAAGCTGAACAAAGAGGACAAAAAAAAAAATCAATCTGAAGGAAAATTGTTGTTCCCTGCAGTAATCAATGCTCACATTTTTCTGTGCTTCTACTCAAAGGTAAAATACGCTTGCGGCTGGGAGTAATACCCTGCTCTCCCTGTTCAGGGCAATTCTGCCGAGTGTGAAACAGAGCACTGGTCTGGTACCAAATTGTAACTGAGCCAAAAGACAAGTTTTGATAACCACCAGGCTGATGTTGAGCTCCCCACCAAAAAAATAAGTAAATAAAAAAATCTAGAGCCCACATCTTGGTGTTCATGGCAGACATCCTTCCCTTCCCCCAAAACCATCACCCCCAACAAAAGAAACATTCAACCCCTCCTGAAGTTCTGTTTTTAACGTGAGTTACCTTACAGCCTCTGAAAAAGGAACTGGTTTGTAGCAGTTAGCCACTGGAGCATAAAACCCCAGGACCAGCAATATTTCTAGTGCAAGGAGGAGGTAGCCAGGCCCAGTTATCTCTGGATCACAAAATGGTTGAAGCATGAAGGTGGCCAGCTGTGTTTGAGGTAGAGCAGTAGCTTTTTTTTTTTTTTTTTTTGACTGTGAACAGCCCTGACAAAAATGCATGCATCAAGTAGTCACAACTGAGGTGTGTGTGTATATATCATCCATAAGCAAGTTAGCTGTACATACATTACAGATACGAAAATTGTGCTTAACTGATATAAACACATCTGTCAGTGGTTAACATGGCCACAAGAGCCAGGGCTAACACTGAAAAATCCACCCACTAGAAGGATAAGCAAAAAGATAAAAATCTTGACTCCCTACCACAATTACTGATCTGTGTTTCTAACAGCAGAAAAAAAAAGTGGACTCTCATAGACAAAAAATTACCAGGAGACAAATATCAATTCTTAGTTATGATGACCATTTGCATAAAAAAGCAAGGCTGTCTCCCTGGCAGTGTAAGAAAGGAGGCATTATTATTCACAGCCGAAGCCTGGAAGTGGGGAGATTCACTTCAGTGAGTAATAGCAACTGCTTGGGATATGACAGATGGCACTCGTGACTGAGGTGGAAAGGCACTCGATGACTCCATGATGGAGATTGTACTTCTCAAATCTGTTCCATTTCTGAGTGCCTAAGTCAGTCACATGGTTCACAGATTCCCTTCCGAGGCTAGCCTAGTGAATGCTTTTTCAGAGAGAGGAAAAACCCTGTGTTATCTTCTCCACAGCCTGACAGGGGCCTGTGCAAGTCCCCACACTCATTCAAAGAGACAAATATTAAGGCAGAAATCCTAGGGGTCTCCCATTACTTTGTACAATCATAGTTTGTGTGTGTTTTTTAAAACCTGTACAGCAGCTCATAATCAAGTTAGCTCATCAGGGATCATTTTTATCATGCTTTTACTTTTCATCTGTCTCCTCCATCTTGAAAAGCCATATTAAAAGGTACCAAGTTAAACACACAGCAATTAGATTTGAAGAGACAAACCAGAAGCCAAGCTTACAACCCCCAGACAAGAAGATTAAATCACCACCTTTATTAAAGGAGAGGGAGAAAAAGCCTTAAGAGTTTTAAGGAAATAAGATCAACACCAGAGGTGCCAGATGAATTTTAAAATAAAGTTGTAAGGAGTCACTTTTTCCTGCTGTTTTTGCTCCTGTGTTTACTTAAAAGGCATCCTGATGTAAAGGCACGCCTCCCACCCCATTCTGCAGTTGGTTCTCCTTATCCCTACTCAACTATATAGAAGTCACTACAAAATACAGAACACAGTTTATTTCAGCTTTATCAAATAGCAATTGTGCCACTTTTGAATTACAACTTGATTTCCTTACCTAGCCCGAATGGAGGACATCAGGCTTGTTTGAATTGATTGCCCAAATTCCTTACAAGACCTGGCAGACATTTCAGAAGCATGGTATTTGAGCTTGAATTCAGCATTTCAGTCAAGTTAATATTTGGTAAATAGGTCTTCACTGTTTTTTAGGGCCCTCAGCACCAAGGTGCTGTAATCCTGCAGTTGAGCCTTTGTTTGTTACCCCAAGACAGGGCTATGCCACCATGGAGTCCAGGCTAAATGCAGGGCTATGACCTGACAATTTTGCACATCCAGTGCAAGTTTCCATCAGGGACAGAGCCAGTGCAGTCATTGGAATGAATTAAGTTTGCAGGCACAGAATATTCAATGTTTTAATCCTAAACTCAACAAAAACACAGCTAGAGCTGCACTCTCATGTGCAAAGCTACTGATTTCTAATAGGAGGTTAGAGCAACCCTACCCCACACAATTACATTTCTTCAGTCCTGCCTGTTGGATCAGTAATTGTTAGGAACATAACCTGCCAGTGATAAATGACCACTCATGTCCTTGTGTTAGATGCTTTTATTTTGTGCTGTCAGTGCGAATTGAACACCAAGACTACCACCATTTGTGCAACAGCTTCCACAGAACAAAGCTCACAAATACATACCAACATACAGCAGAACAGATCACAACAGTACTCTTACACTTTCAAGAGACAGGAAGCCTACACAGAGTGAAATACAACTA